TAGCAAAACAAAACAAACAAAAAAAACACCAGCTAGTCTTTTCCAGAAAGACTGGACGATCTAGCCACTCTGGGACCACATTCCTGCCAGGCAGCAACAGGACAGCATGTGGTAGCTACTGTCCCCTTTAGACAAAACCTATTCTCTCCACTTCTCTGCAGCCCTCAGCATCCCCCTAATTTCCCAGAACTAAAATCAGATAAATATTTTCTTTCAGGGAGCAGAAAATGTGTGTGTGTGTGTGTATATATATATAAAATATATATTTCCCCACTTCAGTGTATGTATAGATATTAGATATATTACTGACTAGCCTAAATCAAGAGAAAAAGGAGGAAAACCCCTAATTACACAAAATAGGAACAAACTAGGGAAATGGCCCCAGCTACAGAGGAAAAAAGGTGAAATTGATAATTTTCTATGAATACATAAACCCCCCAAAAATGAACCCAGAAGGACATAGCAAATCTAAATAGGCCCATGACTTAGAAGATACTGTAGTAGTTACTGAAGTGCTATATTCTGAAACAGCACTGGCTAGGGTGGTGGCTCATGCCTGTAACCCCAATACTTTGGGAGACAGAGGCAGAAGGACTGGTTGAGAGCAGAAGTTCAAGACCAGCCTGGGCAACGTGGCAAGACCCTGTCTCTACCAAAAATTTAAATAAATAAATAGGCACCAGGCTGAGACAGTTTTCCAAGAGAATTCTACTAAATTTGAAACAAATAGTTTTAAAAGTATTTAAGCTGGCTAAAAGTTTTTTTTTTTTTTTGAGATGGAGTCTTGCTCTGTCGCCCAGGCTGGAGTGCAGTGGCATGAACTCAGCTCACTGCAACCTCCACCTCCGGGATCATGGTTCAAGCAATTCTCCTGCCTCAGCCTCTTGAGTAGCTGGGATTACAGGCATACGCCACCATGTCCAGCTAAGTTTTGTATTTTTAGTAGATATGGAGTTTCATAATCTTGGCCAGAATGGTCTTGAATTCCTGACCTCGTGATCTGCCCACCTTGGCCTCCCAAAGTGCTGGGATTACAGGTGTGAGCCACCGCGCCTGGCCCAAGCAGGCTAAAAGTTTAAAATAAAATGTTATATAAGAAACTTTGTGTAAAGCTATAGAAAACACTGAAAGAACTTGATAAAGGTAGGATAAGACAGAAAATTATAGCCTATTCTCACAAACAATTATGTAAAATTTCTAAATAAAATATAAATAAATAGGCCAGGTGCAGTGGCTCATACCTATAATCCCAGCACTTTGGGAGGCTGAGGTAGGTGATCACCTGAGGTTGGGAGTTTGAGACCAGCCTGACCAACATGATAAAACCCTGTCTCTACTAAAAATACAGAATTAGCCGGGCATTGTGGTACACGCCTGTATCCCATCTACTTGACAGGCTGGGGCAGGAGAATCACTTGAACCTAGGAGGTGGAGGTTCTGGTGAGCCAAGATCACGCCACTGCACTCTAGCCTGGGCAACAAGAGCTAAACTTCATCTCGAAAAAATAAAGTAAGGCTGGGCGCGGTGGCTCACGTCTGTAATCCCAGCAATTTGGGAGGCCGAGGCGGGTGAATCACCTGAGTTCAGGAGTTTGTGACCAGCCTGACCAATATGGTGAAAACCCGTCTCAAAATAAAAAAATAAAATAAAATAAAAATACTCCTGCTGGGCAAGGAGGCTCACGGCTGTAATCCCAGCACTTTGGGAGGCCGTGGTGGCTGGATCACGAGGTCAGGAGTTCAAGACCAGCCTAGCCAAGATAGTGAAACACTGTCTCTAAAAATGCAAAAATTAGCCACACATGGTGGTGGGTTCCTGTAATCCAAGCTACTCAGGAGGCTGAGGCAGATAACTGCCTGAACCCAGGAAGCGGAGATTGCAGTAAGGGAAGATCACACCACTGCACTCCGGCCTGGGTGACAGAGCAAGACTCTGACTTAAAAAAAATATCCAATCCCTCATCCTACAAAATTAAGAGAAGAAAAGGGATGGATGATTCAAAATTGGCTAAACACTGAAATCCTGGTGATAGATACATGAAGGCTTATTAGACTGTCTTCTCTATTTTCATGCGTGTCCACAACAGTTTTAAAAATGTGGAAGCTTGGTACGGTGGCTCATGCCTGTAATCCCAGCACTTTGGGAGGCCAAGGTGGGTGATCACCTGAGGTTGGGAGTTTGAGACCAGCCTGATCAATATGGAGAAATCCCGTCTCTACTAAAAATACAAATTAGTCGGGTGTGGTGGCACATGCCTGTAATCCCAGCTAGTCGGAAGGCTGAAGGCAGGAGAATGACTTGAACGAGATGAGTGGAGATCGTGCCATTACACTCCAGCCTGGGCAACAAGAGCGAAACTCTGTCTCTAAAAAACACAAAAACGTGCGGAAGGATTCAAAGGAGGATCACAAAAGGTACAAATGAGCCGGCTCTGTGACACAATGAACAGCACACTACAAATGAGCCGGCTCTGTGACGCAATGAACAGCACACTACAAATGAGCCAGCTCTGTGACACAATGAATAGCACACTACAAATGAGCCGGCTCTGTGACGCAATGAATAGCGCACTATTAGACGAGCCTGGTGAGGTCATAAAAGACACAAATGACTGCAAAGGTACACAACAGGCTTATAAAAATACAGAAAAATGCCACCTAACAATGAAAATTAAAGATACGAGTTGGAGGGCCAGCCGCAGTGGCTCACACCTGTAATCCCAGCACTTTGGGAGGCCGAGGCGGGTGGATCACAAGGTCAAGAGATCAAGATCATCCTGGTCAACACGGTGAAACCCCGTCTCTACTAAAAACACAAAAAATTAGCTGGGCATGGTGGCGCGTGCCTGTAATCCCAGCTACTCGGGAGGCTGAGGCAGGAGAGTTGCCTGAACCCAGGAGGTGGAGGTTGCGGTGAGCCGAGATCACGTCATTGCACTCCAGCCTGGGTAACAAGAGCGAAACTGTCTCAAAAAAAAAAAAAAGCTACAAGTTGGATTTCATTTCACCAGTCAAAGGTCAAAACATGTGGTAATATTCAGCATTGGTGAGTGCGGATGGGCAACTTACACTGATGGTAGGAGTGCAAATCAGTTCGACTTCTTTGGAGGGTAATCTGCTTCCTTCCTTTTTTTTTCCTTTCAAAGTTATAGGTGCATACCCTTGGCCCAGCAATTCCACTTGTAGGAATATATTCTATGGATATCTGTTCATTCAACAAGTATTTTCTGCCACCTACTACGTGCCAGGTACTGGAGATAAAAGTGGAGAAAACTATGCACTATTCTCAGGGTGCTTCCATTCTGATTGTGGGGGAGGCACAGGAGCAAAAATCACAATCTTGAGTAAGTGATAAGGTCGACAGGGGTTGGCTGGTCTGGGAAGGCGTCAGTGAGGTGATGGTGGCCGCAGAGCCTGAGTGAGGGAAAGGAGGAAGCACAAAGATATCTGAGAGAAGCAACCAGAAAGGAAGACAACTGGCAGCTGGCAAATTTGGTCTTCCTTCCCTTGGTTTTGCGTTTTTCCCCCAACAGCTTTTTGCTTATCCAAAGGATATGTACACCACTGGAATGTCTCTCTTTGTCCTGACATGAAAATGAAAATTAAACGGGTTATTTTAATGCAGTACATTCTTCAAGGAAGGTGCCAGGTCAGCATTGTTTCCCCAAACGTTGTGTGAAACAGTTTGATTTTTTCAAAGGAATAATTTTCCAATTTATTAAGTGTTATGCCACGTCTGCTAAAAAAAGTATATTAAAGTTAAATCATGAGTTTTTAATGCAAATAAATATTTCCATAGCAAAGAAAACAAATTAGTCTCACAAAAGATATTGATCAGCTGCTACATAATTTTACACACAAAGACACAAAACTATCAGTCTCTGCCTTTTTGTCGAACCATAGACTTAGAGGCGTCTGTCGTTTAATTTCATAACCTTTTAAGCAATTAAAGTTGAAATTCTTATTTTCCTTAGGGGCAATTTGCATAAATATTTTACACTTGAGTGGCCAGCGTCAACTATGGGCATTCCAGATGGTCAAAAAAGAAATGACTGCTACTACGCCCGAGATCATCATATAATAACTTCTTGAAACAACCACAAAATACCAAAGCTTCAAAAACAGCCAGATAATTAGGAAACCAGCAGATGGGAGAAATCTGTCTGTACGAAACATGTTCCCATCTCAGTTTTCAAAGTGGCTTTATATAAACGCATTCATCTCCTACCCAAAAGAACACCAATAATCAAACGACTCAGCACTGCAAGGTGATCCCCAAGGAAGCGAACTTGTGCAGACAGATTTCAAACGCCAGGAACCACCAGCAAAGCGAACAGGTTCCCCTCTGACGGCTGCGATGCTCCATGTCCTTCCTTCCCCTAGTACCCCGCGGCCCACTGAGCCCTTCCCCAAAAGTCCCCCACTTCTGAGCGGCGCACGCCCCCGACCGTAGTTACAGGGGAGAGCCGCCGAGCGCCCAGGGCGCCAGTAAAGCTCTGCGCACGCAGCCCGACCGGAGGGGCGAGCGTCTGGGAGCTCGGTTTGGGGCCGGATGCAGAGGAGGAGGATGTCCGAGACGGCCCCAGCGCTCTCAGGGTCTGGCGCCCGCCCCTCCGCCTCCCGCCACTGCGGTGCCCGGCATCCAGGGACCTCCCAAGGACTCCCCGCCCCCTACCCTGGGTCAAGACTTGGGGCGGCGCCAAACCCCCAGCGGAAGAATTCCCTTGGGTACCCCGGGAAAGGGTCGCGGTGCAAGGCTGGGCTGGGAGTGCAGGACGCGACGGCGGCAGGAGGACGTGGGGGGTCGGAGCAGGGCGTTCTCACCGCAGGGACTGGGGAAGGGAGCGGGGGTGGGGCCGCCGCGGACCAGATGCGGGACAGAACAGGGACGGCTGCTGGGGCTGGCGGCCACCCTGGGAAGGGCTGGGAGATGCGAGGAGGCCCCCAGCGGGACACACCTGCGCCGGTGAGGGGCCCGCCCGCCCCGAGCGAAGCCTTACCTGCCCAGCGCCCGCTTCATTCCAGCGTCAGCTGCGCAGCGCGGCTCGGCCGGCCCGGTGCCGGTCAGGCGCAGGTTCTGCTTCAGACGGCAGTCGGCGTCCAGCGCCGCGGCGGCCGAGCCGGAGGAGGACGAGCCCGCGGCGGCGCAGCGCTCATGCTCCAAGGCGACGGGCTCGGTCCGCTTCCTCATCCCGCGACCGACACGGTCGGCCGCCGACGGCGCCCGCTGTCCTCGCCCGCCGCCTACGCCGCTCACAGCCGCCGGCACCCGGAGCCGGGACACAGGAGCCCGCCGCTTCTCACATCCTAGCCCAGGCCTCGGCGCAGGGCGGCCACGCTGGCCAATCAGCGTCGGGCTCCCGCCGGCCCCGCCCCCCCCGCCACCGCCTCCCTGGTTCCGAGGGGCGCGCGCCCAGCATCCCCGGCGCCACCCGCAGCCATGTTGCGGAAGGGCGGGCAAAGCCGAAGCGGCGCGTCATCGCCAGGGCAGGGCTCTGTGCTCCTTAGCGGGACTGCGGCTGCCCTCGCCCGGGCGCTGGGCGCTTCTGCGAACGGAAACCCACAGGTAGCAAGTCGCAGTTGTGTTCTTGTGATTCCTAACTCTTTTCCCACAAGGACTTTGCATTTAAAAGTATGCTTTCTAGTCATCAATGTTTAATTTGAAGCAAATGTATATAGATACTCAGTTTTCACCTTTGGGCTGAACACCGGGGAAATGAACTGCTTGAGAAATTTACTTTTTAAAAACCTGTATTAGGTAATAGTTTTTGTTTGTTTTTTTGCTTTTTTAGAGACAGGGTTTCACCCATGGTGGACAGGGTGGTCTCGATCTCTTGACCTCATGATCCGCCGGCCTCCGCCTTCCAAAGTGCTGGGAATTACAGGCGTGAGCCACCGCGCCCGGCCTAGATTTTTGATTTTTATAAAGAAATAAAGGGCCGGACGCGGTGGCTCACGCCTATAATCCCAGCACTTTGGGAGGCCGAGGCAGGTGGATCACGAGGTCAAGAGATCGAGACCATCCTGGTCAACATGGTGAAACCCCGTCTCTACTAAAAATACAAAAATTAGCTGGGCATGGTGGCACCCACCTGTAGACCCAGCTACTGGGGAGGCTGAGGCAGGAGAATTGCTTGAACCCAGGAGGCGGAGGTTGCGGTGAGCCGAGATTGCGCCATTGCACTCCAGTTGGGGTAAAAAGAGCGAAACTCTGTCTCAAAAAAAAAGAAAAGAAAAGAAATTAAGACTAACTGATGGGAGGAAAATCCATTTCAGAGATAAATTCGCCCTCCTGAAACCCAAATTAAGTACTAATTCAACCCATCCTAAAAAGAGAAAAGGAAAGAAAGGGCAGTTTCACGAATTTCGTTTTATAACTTTGGCCTTTAATACGGCATTACTTTTGCAGATGATCTACAACCAAGAGAAATATTTGCTTACTTGTTCCGAAGTAACTTTGGAAATTTTAATATTTGTCACTTTAAAAACTATTGGCAACTGATAATTTAAGATCAATTGGAAATGCATGTAGAAATTCAACAGCTTTTTATATTAGCTTTGTAATGATACTTTGAAATTACAAAAGAATTTATTGACCGTATTACTAAATACCACAGCCTGCATTCATAATTGTGGCAGTATCTCCACATACACTTTTTAAAAACATTGTGGGGGGGGGGGTTTGTGGCTCATGCCTGTAATCTCAGCACTTTGGGAGGCCAAGGTGGGCAGATCACTTGAGGTCAGGAATTCGAGACCAGCCTGGCCAACATGGTGAAACCCGCGTCTTTACTAAAAATACAAAGATTAGCAGGTATAGTGGCACACGCTTGTAGTCCCAGCTACTTGGGAGGCTGAGGCAGGAGAATTCCTTGAACCTGGGAGGTAGAGATTGTAGTGAGCTGAGATCGCACCAGTGCAGAGAGCCTGGACGACAAAGCAAAACTTATTTTTTTGTTTTTGTTTAAAAAAAAAAAAGGCCAGGCATGGTGGCTCACACCTGTAGTCCCAGCACTTTTGGAGTTTGAGGCGTGCAGAACAAGATGTCAGGAGGGCGGGGTGCAATGGCGCATACCTGAAATCCCAGCACTTTGGGAGGCTGAGGCGGGTGGATCACCTGAGGACGGGAGTTCAAGACCAGCCTGACCAACATGGAGAAATCCTGTCTCTACTAAAAATATAAAATTAGCCAGGTGTGGTGGCACATGCCTGTAATCACAGCTACTCATGAGGCTGAGGCAGTCAGGAGGATCGCTTGAACCAAGGAGACAGAGGTTGCAGTGAACTGAGAATGCACCACTGCACTACAGCCTGGAGTGAAACTCTGCCTCAAAAAAAAAAAAAAAAAAAAAGAGAGGGGGTCAGGAGAGCGAAACTAGCCAACATGGTAAACCCCCTCTGTACTAAAAATACAAAAATTAGCTGGGGGTGGTGATGTGTGCCTGTAATCCCAGCTACTTAGGAGGCTGAGGCAGGAGAATTGTTTGAACCAGGGAGTTGGAGGTTGTAGTAAGTGGAGATCACGCCACTGTACTCCAGCCTGGTGACAGAGACTCCGTCTCAAAAACAAACAAACAAACAGAAATTAGGCATGGTGGTGCACAGGCCTGTAATCCTGACTACTTGGGAGGCTGAGGCAGGAGAATTGCTTGAACCCGGGATGCTGGGATTTGGAGGTTGCAGTGAGCTGAGATCATGCCACTGCACTCCACCCTGGGTGACAGAGTAAAACTCCGTATGGATTCAGAGGCTGCAGTGAGCAGAGATCATACCACTGGACTCCAGCCTGGGCAACAGAGCAAGAAACCATCTCAAAAATAAACAAACAGGCCGGGCACGGTGGCTCATGCCTATAATCCCAGCACTTTGGGAGGCCGAGGCGGGTAGATCACTAGGTCAAGAGATTGAGACCATCCTGGTCAACAAGGTGAAACCCTGTCTCTACTAAAAATACAAAAATTAGCTGGGCATGGTGACATGTGCCTGTAATCCCAGCTACTCAGGAGGCTGAGGCAGGAGAATTGCCTGAACCCAGGAGGCAGAGGTTGCAGTGAGCCAAGATCACGCCATTGCACTCCAGTCTGGGTAACAACAGTGAAACTCCTTCTCAAAAAAAAAAAAAAAAAAAAGGCAAGCTGGAGAGAAGAGAGAAATCTGTACCGACTGTTGATACAGGGGAGTTGCAATGAAGAATTTTTTTTTTTTTTTTTGAGACAGAGTCTTGCTCTGTCACCCAGGTTGGAATGCAACGGCACAATCTCAGCTCACTGTAACTTCCGCCTCCCAGGTTTAAGTGGTTCTCCTGCCTCAGTCTCCTTAGTAACTGGGATTACAGGCATGCACCACCATGCCTGGCTAATTTTTTTGTATTTTCAGTAGAGACAGGATTTGTCAGTGTTGGCCAGGCTGGTCTTGAACTCCCGACCTCAGGTGATCTGCCCGCCTCTGCCTCCCAAAGTGGTGAGATTACAGGCATGAGCCACCATGCTCGGCCAGGCTAATTTTTGTATTTTTAGGAGAGACAGGTTTTCACCATGTTGACCATACTGGTTTCGAACTCCTGACCTCAGGTGATCCACCCACCTCAGCCGCCCAAAGTGCTGGGATCACAGGCATGAGCCACAGAACCTGTCTGAGAAAGAGTTTAATTCATGCAGAGCCAGCTGTAGGGGAGACGAGTTTTATTATTGCTCAAATGAGTCTCCTTGAAAAAACTCCAGGATAGGGATTTTAAAGGAAAACTTAGTGTTGGGGGGGTGTCATAAAGTGCAGGGTGCTGATTGGTTGGATCAGAGGTAAAATCTTAGAGAGTCAAAGCCGTCTTCTTGGGCTGAGTCAGTTCTTGGATGGGGGCCAAAAGACCAGATGAGCCAGTTTATCAGTCTGGGTGGTGCCAGCTGATCCCATCAAGTGCAGTGTCTGCAAAATATCTCAGGCACTGATCTCAAGTTTTTAATAGTGATGTTGTCCCTAGGAGCACTTGGGGAGTTTTAGAATCTTGTAGCCTCCAGCAGTGTGACTCCTAAATTTCTAGTCTCGGCCGGGCGCGGTGGCTCAAGCCTGTAATCCCAGCACTTTGGGAGGCCGATGCGGGTGGATCACGAGGTCAAGAGATCGAGACCATCCTGGTCAACATGGTGAACCCCCGTCTCTACTAAAAATACAAAAAATTAGCTTGGCATGGTGGCACGTGCCTGTAATCCCAGCTACTCAGGAGGCTGAGGCAGGAGAATTGCCTGAACCCAGGAGGCGGAGGTTGCAGTGAGCCGAGATCGCGCCATTGCACTCCAGCCTGGGTAACAAGAGCAAAACTCCACCTCAAAAAAAAAAAAAAAAAAAATATATATATATATATATATATATATGTTACATAACCATCTAGGCAAGAAAATTCCTAGGGAATTCGTTTTAATCTAGGGCATATATTACAAATATTTTTAAACGACTTATTTAAAATCAAAGGTGGTCCTGCGGTGTTGGGAATGTAAAGTCTAAATACAGTCTAATCACTCTGGAGCTGTGTGACCTTGGGCAAGCTACCTAACTTCTGTTTGTTTATCAATCCGGGTCTTAAAACACTTTAGGGATAATAGAATTAAAGGAAATACAACTTGCATTCCCTACCAGCATTAGGTACCCAATAAAAGATACGTTCGCTGTTAATATCAATCAGAAAACTCGCACTGCAAAACTGAAACGCTTGTGTCCTAACAATTCAACAACGCATAGGCCCTTCCTCTTAACTTCGAAGTACCCTCTTTTGAATCTAAACGAAAATGAATGAATCAAAAGGAAAAACAGAAGGAAGCTGCGGGGCGTGCATTTATTTCCAGCTTTGCTGCCCGCAGAGTCGCCCGGCCCGCCGCCTGAGAACTCGAAAAACCCTCTCTGCTCAGCCTAGGGGTTCTCCCATGCTTGGAGCGGGACCTCACCTGGGAGGGACTTCTCTTACTCTCACTCCGCCCCTCCAGGAACAGGGCTGCGCGGCGGATGTCCCTTTTCGGGCGCCGTAGGCCGCGTTCCTATTGGCTAGGCCTGTTTGGCGCCAAAGCGCTGAGCGGAGACGGAGGCGAGAGGCTGGCGCTCTAGGACTGGAGCGAAAAGAGTGAGGCGGCCGAGAGCGCAAAGACCGTTTTGGCGTGAGAGCTCCGGGTCGGCAAGGTCACGGGAGCGGGAAGCCTCCGCCATGTTCTGCGAAAAAGCCACGGAACTGGTCCGCGAGCTGCACCGCGCGCCGGAAGGGCAGCTGCCTGCCTTCAACGTAGGGGCGGGTGTTCTCGGACGGGGCTTGACTGGGTTGGGCCCGGGGCGCTGGGGCGGGGCGGCTCCCGGGAAGGGTTTACTTTCGCACCTTGTTCCCTCCGAGGTCCCGAAAAGTGTTGTGAAGCAGCAAAACAAAATTCGGGAGGGGAAAGCGTCCGTCCTTAGCTCCCCAGCGACTTCGTGCGTCTCCTCGTCTGAGCACATTTGAGCGTTTTTCCTTGTCCAGATTGGTGCCCGTCCCTTTTGCAGAACGTTTACAGGTTGCCTGATAATTTCGCGTTTCTTGCTCACTCTGCCGTCCAAGCGTGGTCTATAAAAGCTAAGCCCGTGCACCTGGCTGGGATTCCGGTTCTTCTGTGCTCTCGGTTTTCTCATATGCAGAAATGGGGCTGGTGACAATAGTAGGCAGCTCATGACGCGGTGGGTGTAAAATGAATGGTACGTGACAGGGTCTCTGCATATGCCTTATATTCAGTAAGAGGTGAGTTAGTATTAGCCAATAATACTATTTTTCTGCTGCTGCTACTGTTGCTATTCATATTATGATAATTTGTACTTTTCTGTCACTGCTACCCCAGGCAGAGTGCTAAGCCTTGACTTTATCTCTTGTCTTTTTTTTTTTTTTTTTCTTTTTCTTTTTGAGACGGAGTTTCGCTCTTGTTACCCAGGCTGGAGTGCAATGGCGCGATTTCGGTTCACCGCAACCTCCGCCTCCTGGGTTCAGGCAATTCTCCTGCCTCAGCCTCCTGAGTAGCTGGGATTACAGGCACGTGCCACCAGGCCCAGCTAATTTTTTTGTATTTTTAGTAGAGACGGGGTTTCACCATGTTGACCAGGATGGTCTTGATCTCTTGACCTCCCGCCTCGGCCTCCCAAAGTGCTGGGATTAGAGACGTGAGCCACCAAGCGCGGCCTTTTTTTTTTTTCTTTAAGACAGTTTCTCTCTGGTTGCTCAGGCTGGAGTGCAATGGCGTGATCTTGGCTTATTGTAACCTTCCCCTCCCTGGTTCAAGCGATTCTCCGGCCTCAGCCTCCTGAGTACCTGGGATTACAGGCATGTGCCACCATACACAGCTAATTTTGTGGTTTTACTAGAGATGGGGTTTCTCTCTCCATGTTGGTCAGACTGGTCTCGAACTCCCGACCTCAGGCGATCCGCCCACCTCAGCCTCCCAGAGTTCTGGGATTGCAAGCTTGAGCCACCGCGTCCACCCTGTCTCTTGTCTTTCTAATCACCCTTTGAGGGCCCTGCATGGTGGCTCATGCTTGTAATCCCAACACTCTGGGAGGCTGAGGCAGGAGGATAGGTTGGGGTCCAGGAGTTCAAGGCTGGAATGAGCCATGATCACACTGCTGCATTCCAGCCTGAGTGATAGAGTGAGACCCTGTCCCAAACAAAACAAACAAGAATAACTTTTTGAGGTTTAAATCATTGTTTTCTACTTTTTTTCAGCTATATATGCATAGGATTGGGGAGATTTAAGTATATTGTCTTAGGTGACACAGACAGCAAGAAAGCTAGGACTTGAACCCTGGCACTGTGTCTCCAAAGCCTGCACCCTAAATTCTATATCTTACTCCTGTCATAGAGCAGCCATTGTGTGGCTGTCAGGACACATTCTGCTGGAAGAGGGGCAAAAAAATAGATAGTAGAATTCACTGCAATACATGATACCAAGGAGGTGTAGCAAGGAGCACAAAAGAGAAACACCAGTATGAGCTGGGGTAGAGGAGGTGACACTTGAGCCTTGCCATCCACGAGAATGCGGTCACAGCTCTGAGAAGGAAGTGAGGCATCCCACCCAGAGGATGCTACAGCACAGAGTCACATGGTCACACTGGAGAGGGTGACCAATAGGGCCTGTGGGAAGGCTAGGAAGGTGGCTCACGGCCTACATGAGTTTGTTTTTCACTTGTGAGGCATGTTGGGAGCTGGTAGAGGATTTTAGACGGGGAAGTGATAGGGTAATTTTTGTGGTTTGAAGATAACTGTGGCAGCAATATGGGAAACAGATTGAAGAGAGAAAAGAATGGGGCAGGGAGATGGCTAGTGGGTAGCTGATAGAGCAGGAGAGAGGTGTGTGGTCTGAACTGTGTCAGGTCAGTGGCACTGAGATCAATGTCTGGTTTTAGAGACATGAAGCAAACATGACTTGTAACTGTTAGAGCAGGGGCACAGATGGGGTGCATAATGAATGAGGGAGGTATCGGGATCTTGGAGGATCCTCAGGAAACTGAGTAAATAGCATCAGAGTTCAGGAGATAAGAGTGTGTTGGGAAAGGTAGTGAGTTTTGTTATGAACACTGAAGAGCACCTAGCCTGACAGTTGGATTGTCTTACAAATGCAGAAACTTAGACAACACAAATTATGGCTCAAGTTAAGGGACTTGTCTGAATTTACAGCCTATTGGAGGTTGAGCTTCACCTTGAACACAGGCTTTCCAGTTTCCAGTCAACTGTTGTTTCAAATTCAGAACAGTTATCTCATATAGAAAGTTAGAAGGCAGCAGTCTGCAGCTCAGCAGAGATGCTGGAATGCAGGAGTATGTAAATGCCCAAAATGTGACTGGAGAACTGCACATCAGGACACAGGCCTAGAGAGCAGAGAGACTGCAAACAGGTGCAGCCACGCTGGATTTGGGACCTGAGTGACACCAAGTTTAGCTCTCTGTTTTACTCAAATTTTAAGATAGATGTTGGGTCGTCACTTTGTGGGGCTAGGGGCTGGTTGGTCTTAGAAGTTGTAGAATGACTCTCTTGTGGGTGTTAGTTTGGTGGAGAACCTTTTGTCTCACTAGTGCCTTCCACTGACAAACCCACCTGATACTCAGGTGATTCAGCAGCCTGGAACACTCACTCAGCCTGCGGAGGCTGGCCTCTGACTCAGTGACGCAGAGGAAGGCTAACAGTGGGTCTGAGAGGCCCAAGGACGACACAGGCTTTTCCTCTGGAGTCACTCGTGCTTAAGTGCTGTGTTCAGCAAATTGAAAAGTGATTACCCCCTTTCTATATGCAGAACTGATACTTTTTTTATTAAAAAGTTTTTTTTTTGAGATGCAGTCTCACTCTTGCCAGGCTGGAATGCAGTGGTACGATCTTGGCTTACTGCAACCTCCACCTCCTGAGTTCAAGCAATTCTCCTGCCTTAGCCTCCCGTGTAATTGGGACAATAGGCACGCGCCACCACACCCACCTAGTTTTTGTATTTTTAGTAAAGGCTGGGTTTCACCGTGTTGGCCAGGATGGTCTCGATCTCTTGACCTCGTGATCTGCCCGCCTCGGCCTCCCAAAGTGCTGGGATTACAGGCGTGCTCCTCCACGCCCCGCCAGAGAGTACATTTCTAACAAAGTTAGGCCAAGCATAGTGGCTCACACCTGTAATCTCAGCCTGCACTTTGGGAGTCCAAGGTAGAAGGAACACTTTAGCCCAGGAGTTTGAGACCAGCCTGGGCAACATAGTGAGACCCCATCTTTACAAAAAATAAAAACTAAAATTAGCTGGGTGTGGTGGTGCACGTCTGTAGTCCCAGTAACTTGGGAGGCTGAGGTGAGAGAATTGCATGAGCCCAGGCAGTTGAAGCTGCAGTGAACTGTGGTCATGCTGTTACACTCCAGCCTGGGTGAGAGTGAATCTCTGCTCAAAAGGAAAAAAGAAAAAGGTAAGAAAATTATCTTGGGCTCAGATAGAAGTCATGCTTGCATTTTTCATCAGGAATTAGATATTTTGAGCAGAGTTGAGATTTTAGAATTGTGTCAGTTGTATATACCAGAGCATTTTTGCTAACATATATATTTTGGCCCTAAAAATAGATTGTGAAAAAGAGGATTGCTTCTCTTTGGATTGTTGGCAGACCTATTGTGCAACATTTAATCATTTCAGGCTGGATGTGGTGGCTCATGCCTGTAATTCCAACACTTTGGGAGGCCATAGCAGGCAGATCACTTGGGGTCAGGAGTTTGAGACCAGCCTGGCCAACATGTTGAAACCTTATCTCTACCAAAAAAAAAAAAAAAAAAAACAAAAATTAGCCAGGCAGGCAGGGCACTGTGGCTTACGCCTGTAATCCCAGCACTTAGGAGGCCAACGTGGATGGATTGCCTGAGGTCAGGAGTTCAAGACTAGCTTGGCAAACATGGTGAAACTTCATCTCTCCTGAAAATACAAAAATTAGCTGGGTGTGGTGGTAGGTGCCTGTAATCCCAGCTACTTGAGACGCTGAGGCAGGAGAGTCATCGCTTGAACTTGGGAGATGGAGGTTACAGTGAGCCAAGATCATGCCATTACACTCCAGCCTGGGTGACAAGAGCAAAACTCGGTCTCAAAAAAAAATTAGCCAGACATTCGTGGTGCATGCCTGTAGTCCCAGCTACTCAGGAGGCTGAGGCAGGAGAATCACTTGAACTCGGGAGGCAGAGGTTGCAGTGAGCTGAGATGGCACCACTGCACTCCAGCCTGGGCCACTGAGTGAGACTCCATCTCAAAAAAAAAAAATGTTTAGAACTCTAATGTTTTATTTTTCCAAGGGAAAATTTGCCCCAAAGTGGGTACTAGAAAAACTCCTATGGCCGGCGGTGGTTGCAGTGAGCCTAGATCGCGCCACTGCATGCCAGCCTGGGTGACAAGAGCAAAACTCTATCTCAAAACAAACAAAAACTATGGCCTTTCTGTTTTTGCAATGCAAACTAAAAATACTATTCCTTTTTCTTTCTTTTGGTGTTAACCTTTTAAGACCATATTTTAGTAAATTATGAGTTATTTACATATTTTTCTTTATGCGTCATGCTTCAGTAGGACTATTGATTTTCTTGGGTTTTTTTTTTTTTTCGAGATGGAGTTTTGCTTTTGTTGCCCAGTCTGAAGCGCAATGGCACGATCTCAGCTCACCGCAACCTTCACCTCCTGGGTTCAAGCGATTCTCCTGCCTCAGCCTCCTGAGCAGCTGGGATTACAGGCATGTGCCACCACGCCCGACTAATTTTGCGTTTTCAGTAGAGATGGGGTTTCTCCATGTTCGTCAGACTGGTCTCAAACTCCCGACCTCAGGTGATCTGCCGGCCTTGGCCTTCCAAAGTGCTGGGATTATAGGTCTGAGCTACCACACCTGGCCGGACTATTGATATATTTTTATTCATCAATTTTATTGATGTATAATTACTTTAATAGAATTTTGAATTTTGACAAATATGTATGTCTTTATAATCAGCACCCTGATCAAGATTTCTGTAATTCTCAAAATACCTTATATATCCCATAAATATATATACCTTCTGTATACCCACAAAAATAAAAAAATTGAAAAAGATTTCTGTAACTTAGCCCCCTTTTGTAGCTGTCTCCCACCTATAGCCTTAGGCAACCATGCATTTGCTTTCTCTGACTACAGATGATATTACTCTTTTTAGCAAACTTTTCCTGTAAAGGGCCAGATGGAATCATTTCGTGTATACTCTTGTGTCAGGCTTCTCTTGCTCAGTATAACACATTTCAGATTGTCTTCATTGTTGTGTGTGTTGTCAGTAGTTCATCCTTTTTATTATACTAAATATTTCAGATAACTGGAGTCATACCATAGTTGTCCTTTTGTGACTGGTATCTTTCACTTAGCGTTTCCCTCTTGTTACCCAGGCTGGAGTGCAATGGCATGATCTCGGCTCACCACAACCTCCGCCTCCTGGGTTCAGGCAATTCTCCTGTCTCAGCCTCCTGAGTAGCTGGGATTACAGGCACACACCACCGTGCCCAGCTAATTTTTGTATTTTTAGTAGAGACGGGGTTTCACCATGTTGACCAGGATGGTCTCGATCTCTTGACCTTGTGATCCACCCGCCTCGGCTTCCCAAAGTGCTGGGATTATAGGCGTGAGCGCCTGGCCGCTTCATCCCTTTTTATGGTTGAGTTATATCCCATTGGTGTAATTTAGTTTATTCGTCTATCAGTTGATGGTCGTTTGGGTTGTTTCTACATTTTGACTGTTATGAATAATGCTGCGATAAACGTGTACTTTTTTTTTTTAATAATGCATAGATCTGTTATACACCCTCTTCACATCCTCCTTAACCTCCAACAGTTAGTTACACAGGTACAAAGTGGGTTGGTGTTTAGAGAAAGCAAGGAAATGGGGCTTAGTCTCCTGTGAAGGTAAGGGTGAAGTTAAGGACTAAGGAAGACTATAGGAGTTGATATATGAGGGAGAAGGAGTTCAGAGTCATGGGGAATAGAACGTGGCAAGCAGTTCCGACAGCTTGAAGCTCCTAGGATTTGCAGACATCCTGGGAGGAGTGCTGGAATTCCACAGGTTGGCATAAAGATGATGTCAGTTTTATGTAAATGTCAGGGGAAATGTGATTCTTACCCATGTCGGGATTGTCCCATCAATTCTCATTGATTTTGTATTCTAAAATTTTCCAAATGTTATTGCTTCCTTCCGTTTAATCTGATAGTTCCTTCACCCAAGCTTCCATTGTTTTTTGCTGAGACTTCTGCCATAACTTCCTAAATGGCCTTTTGGATTCCTGTACAGTTAGCTTTTGTATCTGTGGGTTTTGTGTCTGTGGCTTCAACTAACTGTGGATAGAAATTATAAAAAAAATAAATAACAATATGACAGTAAAAATAATATACATTTTTATGTATAAAGTATAACAACTATTTACATTGTATTATGTATTATAAATAATGTAGAGATGACTTAAAATACTATATGTGGGAATGTTTTTATATAATGGGTTTTCTGTTTTCTTGACTGTGTGTGTGTGTGTGTGTAGATATATACCTAAAAAGGGAAATGGTGGGTCATATGGTAATTCTGTGTGTAGCTTTCGAGGAACTGCCAAGTTTTTTCTTACAAGCCTATACCCTTTTATATTCCCACCAGCGATGTACGAGGGCTCCAGTTTCTCAGCATCTCACCAAACACTTGTTATAACCTTGCCAGTGCGGTGCAAAAGGACTATTGCTTTTTGCTAAGGTTTATGAATAAAAGATACAGTTCAGTATTGTTAGAATATTGCCACAGAATTGGTGGGGAAATCAGTGGATTTCAATATCAGTTTATATGTTCCAGGAGGATGGACTCAGACAAGTGCTGGAGGAGATGAAAGCTCTCTATGAACAAAACCAGTCTGATGTGTAAGTTTCATAAGATTGACATTCTAAAACAATTTAATGTTTAAGATGTTGAAGTCAGATAACCTTGCATTATTTTTTGGATGTGATTTTTAAAAATTATCTGCTCTAGCTGTACAAATTAGCAAAAGTCTTTAGGGATTTGTTGTGTGGCCAATAGGAGTTGAAAGGAATTAGAGTAGACCTGAAATAAATGACATACCCTAAAATAAAAAGTAAAAATAGGCCAGACGTGGTGGCTCATGGCTATAAATCCCAATGCTTTGGGAGGCCGAGGCAAAAGGATCACTTAAGCCAGGAGTTTGAGACCAGCCTAGACATATAGCAGGACCTGTCTCTATTAAAAAAAAAATTATCTGTGTGGGGAGGCACACATCTGCATTCCTAGCTATTCAGCAGGCTAAGGTGGGAGGCTTGCTTGAGTGCCGGAGTTCAAGGCTGCCATGAACTGTGATCGTGCTACTGTGCCCTAGCCTAGGTGACAGAATGAGATCTCCATCTCTAAAACTCAAAAACCTAAAAAGTGAAATACGTGGTTCCCATTGTTTATATTTTTATCAATAGATGCCTTAGTGAGTTTATTAAAGGGAGAATAGGCAGTTTATAAATGTATGTAAATAGGAGCAGCAGTGATTTCTGGTAATTTGAGTGGAGTTCACTGAGAAGTAGGGCTACTGTGGCTGGGCGCAGTGGCTTATAACTGTAATCCCAGCACTTTGGGAGACTGAGGTGGGTGGATCACCTGATGTTGGGAGTTTGAGACCAGGCTGACCAACATGGAGAAACCTCGTCTCTACTAAAAATACAAAATCAGCTGGGCATGGTGGTGCATGCCTGTAATCCCAGCTACTTGGGAGGCTGATGCAGGAGAATTGCTGGAACCTGGGAGGGGGAGGTTGCGGTGAGCCAAGGTCACACCATTGCACTCCAGCCTGGCAACAAGAGCAGAACTCTGTCTTAAAAAAAAAAAAAAGAACTAGGGCTACAGAAGGCTTCAGTGTAGTAGGTCCAGAGAGGTGACTAGATTTATCGACTGCAGAACTTAGCATGGTAGCTGGCACAGTGGAGAATTTGGGCTGGGCTGTATGGCAAACTTCATTTGTTCCTCTGACACCAAAGGTAGGCAAGTACTGGATCACAGTTGAAGTATGAAGGTCTCAACTTAGAAGTCTGTCTGTGACATGAGGTTTCATCTTTGGCCTTGTTAGCTGCAGTGTTTTAATCAGTTACTTGGTTTTAGAAATCAGTGCTATGCTGGTCAGATCTGTGGGGACATAAAATGATAGGAGCATTTCCAACTCCTGTGTTTATGGAGCGATAGAGAAAAATCTTTACAGGTAGACTTAGGAACGGGAACCTCAACAGATTTGCAGTAAATGTAAGGCAAATGTAAAGTCCCGAGCTCAAGTCCCCAAGTCATTCATCGATTTACTCAACAAATGTGGACTAAACAAATAACTATCAATCAATGGCTCTGGTATTTTAGCGGTAAACAGCAGTCAAGATGCCTGTCCCTGGCCCTTACCGTCTAGCGCAGAAGACAGATATGAAATACAAATATGCCAAATTGGGATTCAGGCTGTGAAGGAAATCAGAAGAGTGCAAGGAGAAAGAAATAAATAGAAGGTCGAATTTAAATTGATGAATCAAGGAACTTCTCTCCAAGGAGGAGACATTTCAGCTAAGGGCTGTGGGAGAGGCAGGTCTTAGCAAGGTAGTAATTGTGGGCAGAGAGCATTCTAGGTGGAGGGAACAGCATATGCAAAAGGCCTTGAGTCATGGAAGAGAATGGGGTACTTGGGAAACAGATTCTTTTTTTTTTCTTTTTTTGAGGTGAAGTTTTGCTCTATTGCCCAGGCTGCAGTATAGTAGCGCAATCTCTGCTCACTGCAACCTCTGCCTCCCAGGTTCAAGTGCACCTGCTACCACACCCAGCTAATTTTTGTCTTTTTAGTAGAGATGGGATTTCACCATATTTGCCAGGCTGGTCTTGAACTCCTTGTGATCTGCCTGCCTCAGCCTCCCAAAGTGCGGGGATTACAGGCATGAGCCACTGTGCCAGGCCTGGGGAACTGACACTTAAAGAAGACTTATGTGGCTGGAATTTGGGAAGTGGCCAAGGGTGATATCAGATGAGTTGTAAGTGTGAGCAGGTGGTGGCATGTTTGTGTCTTAAAAGATTATCCTGGTTGCTGTGTGGAGGGGCTGAGAGGAGGGGGAAGCTGGTCACCAGATTACTAGTGGGGTGACCCAGACTTTGTAGAAAGTGAGCAGGTTATAGATGAGTTAGAGGTCAGCCTATAGGCCTTGGTTTAATAAGGGAATGATTTTCTTGTATTCCCTGTGTTTATGCCATTCACAAATTCATGATCCAGAATTTTGTCCTCCACCTTCCTAGTTTCTTTCTTGGGAGGCAATGATTGTTATGTTTCTAGTTAAAATTATTTGTGAGCCTTGAGACGGTGGCTCATGCCTGTAATCCCAGCACTTTTGGAGGCTGAGGTGGGTGGATCACCTGAGGTCAGGAGTTCGAGACCAGCCTGGCCAATGTGGTGAAACCCTGTCTCTACTAAAAATATAAAAATTAGCTGGGCGTGGTGGCGGGCGCCTGTAATTCAAGCTACTGAGGAGGCTGAGCAGGATTGTCACTTGAACCTAGGAGGCGGAGGTTGCAGTGAGCCAAGATCATACCACTGTACTCCAGCCTGGGGAACAAAGCAAAACTTCATCTCAAAAAAAAAAAAAAATTATTTGTGAAAAGAAATCTATTATTTTTAAATTACTCATGTATAAATGTGAATTTTTTTTTTCTTTCTTTTTAGTAGAGACAGGGTTTCATCATGTTGGTCAGGCTGGTGTCGAACTCCTGACCTTGTGATCCTCCCGCCTCGGCCTTCCAAAGTGCTGGGATTACAGATATGAACTGCGGCACCTGGCCATAAAATGTGAAATTTTTTAGGAAGTCCTTACGTGCTTGATGAAGTACTCTACTATTAGGTTGAGTATTTTTTCTTTATGCTGTTTTCTTACAATCCAGAGCATGATGTAAACAATGTACAGAACAAATCTGACTTTCATAGGGTGGCAGAAGTGTATAGAACAGCCCTAGAAGACATGACAGGATGGGACATGTATTTTCCCTGTGTTATCAGGGCCTAGCACAGTGCCTGGCATAGAGGCAGGCGCTACATGAATGAATTCTTTTTGTATTCATCTGGTTGCTTAAAAACTCCAAAGGAGATTTTTATTCATTCAGAAGTTACATGTACTTTTTATAGGGTAAAACCAAAATTTGCAGTGTCAAAAATACTGAAGTATATACATACACATATTTGGAGAGCAGCAGATGTTTTAGTTGAATGAAAGGCCATTTTGACTCTACTTTACCTCACTTTATTATAATGAGGATTTGGAAGCTCCACTGGAACGGAGGTACTGTGTAGAATAACAGCATGACGTAAGACCATAATCTCATGTCCATCACGTTAGGTTTGTCTCTTATCTCAGCATGATAATGGAATCCCAAAAAGTGAATGAACACAGTGTCTTTTAATCAGTGCAGAAATGCCAAGTACTAAATGCCTAAACAAAACATATTTGATAGTATGATCTTGGGCAAGTTGTTTAGCTTTTGGCTTTTTCATAATAAAAGCTGTGATGTACAAATAGTTATTATTTGCCTAGTTTAACTGCTAATCACAAGTGGATTACAAATAAGCATGTAAGTCAGTTGTTAGTTGACTTTGAAAATTTTACTTATCCTGAAAAGTACATTTTTTTTTTCTTTTTAAATGCTCCTATCAGGAATGAAGCGAAGTCAGGTGGACGAAGTGATTTGATACCAACTATCAAATTTCGACACTGTTCTCTGTTAAGAAATCGACGCTGTACTGTAGCATACCTGTAAGCTTCTCAGGTTTTGCTTGGGGTGGCAGGGTTTTCTGTGTGGTTTCCCAGTTGACTATCTCAAATGGGTAATGTTAAATCTTAGATTTCTCTCTCTTTACAAGCATTTTAAATTTTTCCTGTTTTTTATTTTTTATTTTTTTGGAGATAGAGTTTTGCTCTGTCGCCAGGCACCAGGCTGGAGTGCAGTGGCGCAATCTCGGCCCACTGCAGCCTCTGCCTCTCAGGTTCAAACAATTCTCCTGCCTCATCCTCCCAAGTAGCTGGGGCTACAGGTGCATGCCACCACGCCCAGCTAATTTTTGTATTTTTGGTAGAGACGGGGTTTCACCATGTTGGCCAGGATGGTCTCAATCTCTTGACCTTGTGATCCACCCGCCTCGGCCTCCCAAAGTGCTGAGATTACAGGCGTGAGCCACTGTGCCCGGCTGACACTTTTAAAAGTAGGGAGAATAATACTATAATGAACCCCAGTGGAACCATCATATGGTTTTAACAGTTTTAATTTTTTTGCTATTTTGCCATATTTTCTTCATCGTGTTTTGCTTGTTGGTGCCACGCTATTTTTTTTTTTTAGACAAGAGTCTCACTCTATTGCCCAGGTTGGAGTGTAGTGGCGCGATCTCGGCCCACTGCAACCTCTCCCGCTGGAGTTTAAGCAATTCTCCTGCCTCAGCCTCCTGAGTAGCTGGGATTACAGGCCGCTGCCACTGTGCCCGGCTAATTTTTGTGTTTTTAGTAGAGACGGGGTTTCATCATCTCGACCAGGCTGTTCTCGAACTTCTGACCTTGTGATCCACCCGCCTTGGACTCCCAAAGTCCTGGGATTACAGGTGTGAGCCACCACGCCTGGCCAGTGCCATACTATTTAAGTGCATCATGGTGTGTCACTACTGAATATGGTTGTGTTCTTACTATTTTTCTTCTTTGTCTTAGAAATAAGGACCTTTGGTTGCGTCTGGTGGCTCACACCTGTAATCTCAGCACTTTGGAAGGCTGAGGCAGGTAGATCACGAGGTCAGGAATTCCAGACCAGCCTGGCCAACATGGTGAAATCCCATCTCTACTAAAAAAAAATACAAAAATTAGCTGGGCATGGTAGCAGGCACCTGTAATCCTGGCTACTTGGGAGGCTGCGGCAGGAGAATTATTTGAACCTGGGAAGTGTAGGTTGCAGTGAGCCGAGATTGTGCCATTGCACTCTGGCCTGGGTGACAAGAGCAAAACTCCATCTCAAAAAAAAAAAAGAAGAAGGAATAAGGACCTTTGGCCAGGCACGGTGGCTTATGCCTGTAATCCCAGCACTTTGGGAGGCTGAGGTAGATGGATCACCTGAGATCAGGAGTTTGAGACCAGCCTGGCCAACATGGTAAAGCCCTGTCTCTACTAAAAATGCAAAAATTAGCTGGGCATGGTGGTGGGTACCTAGTCATAGCTACTTGGGAGGTTAAGACAGGAGAATCGCTTGAAACCGGGAGGCGGAGGTTGTAGTAAGCTGAGATCACTCCACTGCACTCCTGCCTGGGTGAGAAGAGCAAAACTGTCTCAAAAAAAAAAAGGAAATAAGGACCTTTGGGACCTTTTTCCCTGGACTACTGTGCTGCTGTCACACATGGAAGAGTGGACAGTACATTCAGGCTGACTTTTCAGACTGGGCGTATGTTCCTCTCGTTGTCCCTAAGATGTCTTTTTAGAGCCGGTATGTTTGCATCAAGGTCCAAATAAGTCCACACATGATCCCCCTTTTATTCTTAGGCCACCCAATGCCTTCTTGATGTCCTAGGTATGACCGCTTGCTTCGGATCAGAGCACTCAGATGGGAATATGGTAGCATCTTGCCCAACGCATTACGGTTTCACATGTCTGCTGAAGAAGTGAGTTAACATTGTTCAAGTTTATAAACTGCGATAATGCTAACGTTCTGGCACTGTTGTATAATAGTGTTTATTGGTATTCCTCTTTTTGTTCTTAATGTATGTTTTTCCCCAATTTTTGGCTGGTATTTAGTGTATAATGTTAGGGAACTATGTGGTGAGGAGTAATTCTAAATGATGTGTGGAAAATCATTATTAAAAAAATAGAGTCCCATGATGTTACATTAGTGATCCATCAGTGGCATTGAAAAACTGACATTATTATTTGGGGATATTCCGTAAAATGTTTATATATGTATATATACTTTTCCTAATAAATGCTGCAGATTCCTATTTGCCTAGTCACTGAGGCAAAGAGCTAGCCCATTATTTAAGGACACAGGATTGGAGTCAGGTGAACTTAGGTTCAAATCCTGGCTCTCTGCTGTCTAATCTTGGGCAAGTCACTTGACCTGTTTCTGTGCCTCAATTTCCTCATTACAAGATGAAGATCATAGTACCTATCCATTACAGGTTGTAGTGACTTCTGACACTATCTGCAGCTCAACCAGACATTATGGGTTAAGCACACAATCTTCTGTAAGGCTGCTCTCACTTGAGTCACCACCCATAAGTTTGGGGATCCCACTGTTAACCTTAAGTTCAGTAATTCACTAGAATGGCTCATAGAATTCAGAAAATCACTGTACTTAAAATTACAGTTTGATTATACCAAAAAAGATACAAGTCAAAACCAGCCAAAGGAGGAGACTCACAGAATGAGGTCTGAGAGGGTCCCAGATTGAAGCTCCTAGAATCCTCACCCTGTGTGATCAGGATGCAGCATAATCTGGGCATATTTGTAATATGCCGGGATTATAATTACAATTATATAATAATAACACGCAGAGTCTCATTAACCAAGGAAGCTCTCCAGAGTGTTTACTGGGGCTTCATTGCATAGACATGATTGATTAAATCTTTGGCCCTGTGATTGAGGTCAATCTCCATCCCTCTTTCCTTTCCTGGAGGTCAGACTAACATCAGGAAGCCCAAAGGGCCAATACTTTAATCACATGGTTTGTCTTTCTGGAATGGCGAGCCCCAACTCTGAGTCATCTTGTTAGCACAGACTAGGTAGGGCTTCACCACAAGTCACCTCAGTAGCACATACTCTCAGGGCACATCATGAATAACAAGACATTTCTATGACTTGAGAAAGTCCAAGAATTTAGAGGCTACCTCCCAGGAATGAGGGAGAGGTGCACCAAATTCTTTATTCTACAACAGTCTTATTACAAGGCCTATCACAGGGTTACTTCAGGTGATCCATGTGGAGCACAGCATAGGATGGCACCCAATAAATGTTAACAGTTATTATGTTAGAGTTGCATAGCACAGAGCTTAAGAAAGCAAATATGCAGTACAGCAGACACCACTGCTCATGTATACCTATGTAACAAACCTGCATGTTCAGCACATGTATACCAGAACTTAAAGTAAAATTTTAAAAAAGAAAGCAAATATTCAATGTGTTTGCCATTAGATTCTGCACAATTTGAAAGTGATCTATTTATTATAGCTTTGTTTTCATTCTGTCCATTTTCTGCATAAATACATGAGTGATCTATACCTCAGATTTACCAGTTACTACAAAATTGGTAACATGTTAATACTTCACTTTGTTTTTGTGCTTTGTGTTCAAATCTACTTACATCAATTGAACTTTGGGGTATTTCCCATGTATTATGGTGAGATGAACAGAACGCTATGTTGTTTCTCTAATTATTTTTTTCCTACAATATTTTACATTATTTTTTTGAGATGGAGTCTCGCTCTGTCGAGCAGGCTGGAGTGCAGTGGCACGATCTCAGCTCACTGCAACCTCCACCTCCCGGGTTCAGGCAGTTCTCCTGCTTCAGCCTGCTGAGTAGCTGGGATTACAGGCGTGTGCCACCACGCCCAGCTAATTTTTATATTTTAGTAGAAACAGGGTTTCACTATGTTGTCCAGGCTGGTCTCGAACTCCTGACTTCGTAATCTGCCCGCCCTGGCCTGCCAGCACTGGGATTATAGGTGTGAGCCATCGTGCCCGGCGATTGTTTCTTGTAATTTTGTAAATGATTACAAGCTACGTTTATTCAAGCACATCAATTAGATTTCATATTGGACATTGTTTCTCTAAGGATGACACTTTTCTGTGATTACTGAGTTCCCAAAGTCAGTTACTATTTTAATAAAATATAACCATGTTAACAGCAAATAAAGAATATTAATGGGTCTAGAGATTAAGTTGTTTGAGAATAGTGAAACCTGAGATAGTTTCTTGGAAGAGTTTGTGAATTACTGCAAAATTGGCAAATGACTTCCTTCTACCCCAGTGTCCTCATCTATAAAAAGGAATATACCAGCCTGACCAACATTGTGAAACCCTGTCTCTACTAAAAATACAGAAACTAGCTGGGTGTGGTGGCTTGTGCCTGTAATCCCAGCTACTCAGGAAGGCTGAGGCGAATCACTTGACCTGGGAGGTGGAGGATGTGGTGAGCCGAGATCACGCCACTGCACTTTAGTCTGAGCGAGGGAGTGAGACCCTGTCTCAAAAAAAATGAAAAGAAAAAAATGGAATATACATGGTCTCTGTCTTTCAGTAGTGGTGTTTTGGAAAAACTTAAGGATGACAAGAGATTAATACAGATATACTCTGTAGTAGAACACAGACATCCCTGCTTGAGGCAATTGCATGGTGCCAACTGCATCAACCATTTTGGAACAGTAACAAAGAATATTTCCAGGTATCCCTGACAACTTACAGGAGCCCATGAGGTCTGAGTGTCAACATGGATGTCTGTGTTGTTCAAGGATAGTGCTTCAGTGGGTGATGCCATGGGCCTGAGTCTGCCACCTGAGTTCAGATCCCTGCCCTGTTAACTCTGAGCCCTTTGGTAAATTATCCAGTTTCTCAAAGCTTCAGTCCTTCACAAATAAAAGAAAAACGTTAATAGTAGTTACATGATGGAGCAATGACAAAGAGTAAATAAAATAATGCATATTAAAATTTTAGCAAATTCCTGGTATATAGTAAGCACTTTATAAATATTAGTGGGGATGATGATGTCAGTATTGTTGACTTACAGTAATAATACAAGTAAAAGCAGAGCTAAAATGAGGTTACTAACGTGAAACAGATGGTAAATGTCTAGAGAAAACACCATTGGAAAATGTGAAAGTACATGGATAATAAGTAAAAATCATCTTAGCATCATGATTTTAAAATAGTAACATCTTTCACTTTTTAAAAATAGTAACATCGTGGCCAGGCATAGTGGCTCACACTTGTAATCTCAGTACTTTGGAAAGTTGAGGTGGGCAGATCACCTAAGGTTGGGAGTTCAAGACCAGCCGGACCAACATGGAGAAACCCCATCTCTTCTAAAAATACAAAATTAGCTGGGCATGGTGGCACATGCCTGTAATCCCAGCTACTCAGGAGGCTGAGGCAGGAGAATTGCTTGAACTTGGGAGACAGAGGTTGTGCTGAGCCCAGATCGCACCATTGCACTCCAGCCTGGGCAACAAGAGGGAAACTGTCTCAAAAAAGATAGTAACATCTTTTGTTATTTGACTTCCAAACTTTGTATTTAAAATCTTCAGGCCACTAACATATGAGAGATAGTGAAAATAGGTATTCTTTTCTATTAATATTTTTCCATAAGGAAAAATAAAATAGAAATTTGTGACCATATCAGTATGTTCTTTTGTGGAAGAAACGTGCTTATTCTACGTTGCCCTTTTGTCTGTGAATGAGATTGAATGAGGGTAATACCCTCGTTGTCAAAACAGCTTGATTTTTTCTACTTCATCTTCTCTTTGGGGTCTGTTACACTCTGCTGTTCTCATTGGAGACACCATAGAAAAGACCACAGTGGAAAAACCCATGTTTTGACTCACTTAGCAACATCTCTGTCAGAAAACTTTTCTTCATGCTTACCAGTACAGATGTCATCTTTTATCCTTTGTATTGTAAAAGACAGTACAGTTTTTAGCACCTCGGCATATACCTTTTAAATCTTTTAAAATCACTTAGTTTAACCATTTGCGTTGTAAAAGCTAACATAAAAACAGACACACGCAAACATATCCAAAAAGGTGCAGAAAACGAAGATGTACAGCCAGTGATGTGTCACTGAGGAATTCTTGTGTACCCATCACACTGTTCAAGAAAGAATATTGCTCCAGAAGCCTTGTGTCCCTCCTCCCAGTGATCACTACTCTCTTGACTTTTGTGCAGACTAATCACTTCCTTATTTTAAAAAATCTTACTGAGCTGGGTACAGTGGCTCATGCCTGGAATCCCCTCAGTTTGGGAGCCTGAGGCAGATGGATTGCCTGAGCTCACAAGTTCAAGACCAGCCTGAGCAGCAGGGTAAAACCCTGTGTCTACCCAAAAAAAAAAAAAAAAAAAAAAAGCCAGGCGTGATGGCTCACGCCTGTAATCCCAGCACTTTGGGAGGCCGAGGCAGGCAGATCACCAGGTCAGGAGTTCAAGACCAGCCTGGCAACCCTGTGTTTTTCTTTTCCTGTCCTGTCCTGTCCTGTCCCTGTCCCTGTCCCTGTTCCTGTCCCTGTCCTGTCCTACAAAGAAGCTTTGCTCTTGTTGCCCAGGCTGGAGTGCGATGGGGAGATCTCGGCTCACCACAACCTCCGCCTCCTGGGTTCAAGTGATTTCCCTTCCTCAGCCTCCTGAGTAGCTGGGATTACAGGCATGCATCACCAAGCCTAGCTAATTTGTTATATTTTTAGTAGAGATGAGGTTTCTCCATGTTGGTCAGGCTGGTATTGAACTCCCCACCTCAGGTAATCCGCCCGCCTTGGCCTCCCACAGTGCTGGGATTACAGGCATGAGCCACTGCGCCTGGCCACTTCTGTATAAATTTTAGACTCAGTTTGTCAAGTTCCATTTTTTAAAAAGTTAAGATTTTGATTGAGATTGAATTGAATCTATAAATTGTTGACATTATTACAATACTGAATCATCCAATCTATGAATGTGGTATATACTCAGGTCTTTCATTTCTTTCAACAGTTTTTTTTTTAAATAGCAGATTTACTGAGATATGATTCATACACTGTGAAGTTTACCGTCTTAAAGTGTACAATGCAGTGGTTTTTAGTGTATCAGAGTTGTGCATCCAATACCACCATCTTATTCGAGAACATTTTCATGACCCTACAAAGAAGCCCTGTGCCCTTTATAGTTACTCTACGTTTTCTTCCCTCCTCCCAGCTCCTGGAAATCCCACATCTACCTTCTATCTGTAGATTTTCCTGCTACAGGTTTTCCATATGAGTAGAATCATGCAGATGTGGCCTTTTGTCTTCCCTCTGGTAATGGCAGCACGTATCAGAACTTTCTTGCTACTTATGGTTGAATAATGTTCCATCATATGGGCACACGTTTATCAGTTGATGGACATTTGGATTTTCTTAATGTTTTGTAGTTTTCAAAAATAGCATCAATGCAGAGTTTGAAGGTATAATTGTGAATGGTGTCTTTTTTGTGGTTCTGTTTCTGGTCAGATGTTCCTAAGGTTTGTTATTAAGTATGCTGAAACAGAAGCTCTCTGAGAGCAGAGAATTTTGTTCACTTTACTGAATGATTCATCCTAAGTACCCATACCAATATTATTGTGTATTGTATTATTGGAGGTGATCAGTAATATTTTAGTGTAAATGAATGAATGGTCACAATAGTGATTTCTGTTGGGAAGTGTGTTGTTTACAAATGGATGAGTTTACAGTTTGTGTAAGTTTTCCTAGAATTTTGTCAAATGATCATCTCTGTTTGCAGATGGAGTGGTTCAATAATTATAAGAAATCTCTTGCTACTTATATGAGGTCACTGGGAGGACATGAAGGTTTGGACATTACACAGGATATGAAACCACCAAAAAGCCTGTATATTGAAGTATGTATATCTTTTTAAAATGCATTTTTCTTTAATGTGTAGATTGCGCTACCTTTTAAGAAGAGGGGAGTATATGAATATGTGTTAGCTTCTATTAAAATAGAAAAGAATTATAGACCAAATCAAACAAGCTACCTGTAGGGGGATGACAGAATACAATAGAATAGTTATAATTTTCTGTTTATACCTGTTTTAATACTTTTGACTATGGAACCATGTAAATGTTTTAGCTATTACTAAAAGTTAAATCAAAATGGAAAATCAGTCCCTAAATTTCAAAAGTAAAATGAACAAGTGTCTGTTTTTTAAATACAAAAAATACATATAAAATCTGCCATCTTAGCTATTTTTAAGTGTACATTTCAGTGGTATTAAATATTGTTTAATATTACATGTTTTGTAACCATCACCACCATCCATGTCCAGATTTTTTTCATCTTATAAAAGTGAAACTCTGTACCCATTAAACAATAACTTCTCAGTACCCCCACCTCCCTTCCCCCAGCAGCCACCATTCTACCCTCTCTCTCTTATGATTTGGACTGCTATAACTACCTCATGTGAGTAGAATCATATAGTATTTTTGTTTTCATTAAAAAATAATTTCTGAGAACCTGCAAATGACAAGTGTTTGGGTTTTTGTGACTAGCTTATTTCACTTAGCTTAGTATCTTCAGGGTTCATTTCTGTGGTATTTGTGGTAGCGTGTGTCAGAATTTCCTTTCTCTTTAAGGTGGAGTAATATTCCTTTGCTTATCCATTCATCCGTCAATGGACACTGGGATACTTCTTCATTTTAGCTATCATTTTATGATTAATGCTGCTATGAACGTGGATGTATCAGTCTCTTTGAGGCTCTGCTTTTAATTTTGGGGTTGTTTTGTTCATGGTGTTTCATTCTTACTGCCCATGCTGGAGTGCAGTGGTGTGATTTCAGCTCACCACAACCTCAACCTCCCAGGTTCAATTGATTCTCCTGCCTCAGCCTCTCGAGTAGCTGGGATTACAGGCGTGTGCTACCACACGTGGCTAATTTTATATTTTTAGTAGAGACGGGATTTCTCCATGTTAGTCAGGCTGGTCTTGAACTCTTGACCTCAGGTGATCTGCCCGCCTCAGCTTCCCAAAATGCTGGGATTATAGGCATGAGCCAGCATGCCCAGCCTGTGTGGAGAATTTTTGCATTAGTATTTATAAGGGACATTGGTCTGTAGTTTTTTTTGTAGTATCATTTCTGGCTTTGGTTATTAGGGTAATGCTGGCCTCATAAAATGAGTTAGGGAGAAATTTTAAAAGGCCAGGCGTGGTGGCTCATGCCTGTAATCGCAGCACTTTGGAAGGCTGAGGCGGGTGGATCACCTGAGGTTAAGAGTTCGAGACCAGCCTGGCCAACGTGGTGAAACCCTGTCTCTAATAAAAATACAAAAATTAGCCAGGCCTGGTGGCAGGTGCCTGTAATCCCAGCTACTCAGGAGGCTGAGGCTGGAGAATCGCTTGAGCCTGGGAGGTGGAGGTTGCAGTGAGTTAAGACTGTTTCCTGTTCCACTGCACTGCAGCTGGGCAACAGAGTGAGACTCTACCAAAAGAAAAGATGAGTTAGGGAGCTGTTCCCTCCTTTTATATTTTTTAGAAGTTTCAGAAGGATTGGCGTTCTTGAAATGTTTGATAGAATTACCCAGGGAAACCATCAGGTCTAGGGCTTTTTTTTTTTTAGATGGAGTCTTGCTCTTTAGCCCAGGCTGGCGTGCAGTGGCGCCACCTTGGCTCACTGCAACCTCCACTTCCTGGGTCCTGGTTCAAGCAATTCTTCTGCCTCAGCCTCCCAGGTAGCTGGGATTACAGGTGTGCACCACCATGCCCAGCTAACTTTTGTATTTTTAGTAGAGATGGAGTTTCACCAGGTTGTTGGACGGCTGGTCTTGAACTCCTGACCTCATGATCCACCCACCTTGGCCTCCCAAAGTGCTGGGATTACAGGCATGAGCTACTTTGCCCAGCCAGGCTTTTCTTTATTGAGATATTTTTTTTATTAGTAATTTAGTCTCCTTACTGGCTACAGGTCTATTTTGATTTACTATTTCTTTATGATTCAGTCTTGATAGGTTTGTGTTTCTGGGAATTTGTTCATGTCATCTAGGTTTTCCAGTTTGTTGGTGTACAATTGTTCATAGGACTCTTAGAATCCTTTTTATTTCTATAGAATTGGTAGTAATGAGCTCACTTTCGTTTCTGATTTTAGTAATTTCAGTCTTTTTTTATTCTTAGTCTACCTAAAGGTTTGTAAATTTTGTTGACCTTTCCAAATAATCAAATTTTAGTTTTACTTGTTTTTTGTATTGTGTTTCTGTCTTTATTAAGCTCTGTTCTTATCGTTATTTCCTCCTTCTAGCCCTTAGGTTTAACTTGCTTTTCTTTTTCTGGTTCTTTAAGGTGTAAAGTTAGGTGGTTGGTTTGAAATCTGTCTTTGTTTGGTTTGGTTTTTGTCTTTTTCTGTCTTTCTCTTTTTTCTCTCTCTCTTTCTTTCTCTTTCTGTCTTCCTTTCTCTCCCTCCTTCCCTCCCTCCCTCCCTCCCTCCCTCCTTCCCTCCCTCCCTCCCTCCCTCCCTCTCTTTCGTTCTTTCTATGTTGCGACAGGACCTCACTCTGTTGCCCAGGCTGTAGTGCAGTGGCACTGTCTCAGCTCACTGCATCTTCCACCTCCAGTGTTCAAGTGATTCCTATGCCACAGCCTCCCAAGTAGCTGGGACTACAGGGGCATGCCACCACCCCCAGCTAATTTTTGTATTTTTTGGTAGAGACAAGGTTTTACTGTATTAGCCAGCCTGATCTCGAACTCCTTACCTCAAGTGATCTGCCCACCTTGGGCTCCCAAAGTACTGGGATTAGAGGTGTGAGCCGCCATGCCAGGCCTTGTTTTTGTTTTTGAGATGGAGTATCACTGTGTTGCCCAGGCTGGAGTGCAGTGGTGTGACCTCAGCTTAGTGCAACCTCCGTCTCCCCGGTTCAAGGGATCCTTCCCCCTCAGCCTCCTAAGTACTGGTACTAACAGGTATGTACCATGCCCAGCTAATTTCTGTATTTTTAGTAGAGATGAGGTTTAGCCATGTTGGCCAGGCTGGTCTCCAACTCTTGACCTCAAATGATCTGCTGCCTCGGCCTCCCAAAGTGATGGGATTGCACGAGTGAGCCAGCATGCCTGGCCATGACGTCTGTTATTTTTAGTGTAGGTGTTTACAGCGATAAATTTCTCTTCGTACCGCTTTTGCATCTCATACATTTTGATGTGTTATATTTTTGTTTTTTCACCTATAAGTATTTTCTAATTTTCCTTATTTCTTCTTTCATCATTGGTTAAGAATGTGTTGCTTGTTTGTTTTGAGACAGGGTCTTGCTCTGTCACCCAGGCTGGAGTGCAGTGATACAAACAGGTTCATTGCAATCTCTGTCTCCTGCCTCTCCCTTCTGAGTAACCGGGACCACAGGTGCATGCCACTATGCCTGGCTAATGTTTTTTTTTCTTTTAAAGAGACAGAGTCTTGCTATGTTGTCCAGGCTAGTCCCAAACTCCTGGGCTCAAATAATCCTCCTATCCTGGTCTCCCTCAGTGCTGGAATTATAGGCAGGAGCCACCACACCTGGCCTAAGAATGTATTGTTTAATTTCTACAAATGTGTGAGTTTTTCAGTCTTCCTTCTGTTATTGATTTCTGACTTCATCCCCTTTGGTAGGATAAGATACTTTGTATGATATCTATCTTTTTAAATCTACTGAGACTTAATTTCTGCCTAAATTGGGTGTATCCTGGAAAATATCCCATGTGTACTTGGGATGAATGTGTATACTGCTTTGTTGGGTAGAGTGTCCTGTATGTGTCTGTTATATTTATCAGTTTTTTTGTATTAAGTCCTCTATTACCTAGTCTCTGTCTTGTTCTAGCCATTATTGAGAGTGGCTGGTCTCGAACTCCTGACCTTGTGATCTGCCCATCTCAGCCTCCCAAAGTGCTAGGATTACAGGCATGAGCCACTGCACCCAGCCCATTTAATATCTAAAATTATAACACTGTAGCTGGGCGCTGTGGCTCACACCTATAATCCCAGCTCTTAGGGAGGTAGAGGTGGGAGGAAAGCTTGAGCCCAGGAGTTCGAGACCTGCCTGGACAGTATAGTGAGACCCCATTATTCACAAAAAAGGAAAAAACAAAAAGACTAAAAATAAATAAGTGTAACACTTTAATTTCAACTTACAGCAGGTTGACTTCAATGACATACAAAAATTCTGATCCTTCCAAGCCTTATCCCTATTTCTTTCTATTGTTGATGTCACAAAATTACATGTTTACATGTCGTGGACCCCAAAACATAAACTAATAAATATTTTAAATGTATCAGTTTCTTAAATTGTGCAGAAAACAAAATGTAGGGTTGCAAAGTTACGTTAATACTAGCTTTTAGACTAATCAGTGTTTTTTAAATGTGTTAGTCACTGAAATCATGTTAAAAACAAAAAATACGGCCGGGCGCAGTGGCTCACGCCTATAATCCCAGCACTTTGGGAGGCCGAGGCGGGTGGATCACGAGGTCAAGAGATCGAGACCATCCTGGTCAACAAGGTGAAACCCTGTCTCTACTGAAAATACAAAAATTAGCTGGGCATGATGGTGCATGCCTGTAGTCCCAGCTACTCGGGAGGCTGAGGCAGGAGAATTGCTTGAACGCAGAAGGCGGAGATTGCGGTGAGCCGAGATTGTGCCATTGCACTCCAGTCTGGGTAACAAGAGCGAAACTCCATCTCAAAAAAAAAAAAAAAAGGGCCGGGTGTGGTGGCTCACACCTGAAATCCCAGCACTTTGGGAGGCCGAGGCGGGTGGATCACGAGGTCAAGAGATCGAGACCATCCTGGTCAACATGGTGAAACCCCGTCTCTACTAAAAATACAAAAAATTAGCTGGGCATGGTGGTGCGTGCCTGTAATTCCAGCTACTCGGGAGGCTGAGGCAGGAGAATTGCTTGAACCCAGGAGGCGGAGGTTGCGGTGAGCCGAGATCACACCATTGCACTCCAGCCTGGGTAACAAGAGCGAAACTCCGTCTCAAAAAAAAAAAAATACCCCACAACAATAAAAAATAGAGTTATAAAATGTTACAATACTGCTAGATTTTAGAATTTTCCATTTATTCACTGTCTTAGTCCATTTGTGCTGCTAAAAGAAAATACCTGAGACTAGGTAATTTCTAATGAACAGAAATTTCTTTTTTGAAAAGAGACATGGCCTCACTTTGTCTGTCACCCAGGCTGGGGTGTGGTGGTACAATCGTAGTTCACTATAGCTTTGAACTCCTGGGCTCAACCAATTCTCCTGCCTCAGCCTCCTAAGTAGCACTGACTACAGGCATACATTACCATGCCTGGCTAATTTTTAAATTTTTTGTAGAAACCTGACCTTGCTGTGTTGCCCAGGGTAGTCTTGAACTTCTAGCCTGAAATTGCCCTCCTGCCTTGACCTCTCAGTGTTGGGATTATAGGCTTGAGCCACTGTGCCTGCCAGCCAGCCTATCTCAACAAATTCTGGATGCCTGGAAGTCCAAGATCAAAGTGTCAGCAGATTTATTTGTCTTCTGTGGGCAACACTCTGCTTCCAATGCGGTACCTTGAATGCTGCATCCTCTGGAGGGATGAAACCCATGTCCTGGCATGGCAGAAGGTGGAAGGACAAAAAGAACGAAACTCCTTCCATCAAGTCATTTTATAATGCCATAAATCCATTTATGAGGGCAGAGCCCTTATGCCCTAGCCACCTGACCAAAGTCCTTACCTCCCAACAAGGTTGAATTCGGGATTAAGTTTCTAGCCCATTGATTTCTGGGGACACATTCAGACCATAGCATTTACCTTTATTGAGATCTTTATTTCTTCACAGGGCTTCAAGTTACTGTCTTGTGATAGTTACCATATATAGGATTCTTGGTTGGCAATTTTGTTCTTTTAGTACCTTGAATATGTTGGCCCACCGTGTTCTGGGCTTCAAAGTTTATAATAAAAATCTGCTGAAAATCTTATTGAGGATCCCAGGTATGTGATGAGTTACTTACCTTTTGCTGCTTTCTCTTCAAATTTTTTAGAGACAGGGTCTCACTGTGTCAACTGGGATGAACCTCACAATCATAGCTGTCATCTCAAACTCCTGGGCTGAAGCAATCCACCTCAGCCTCGTAAGTAGTTAGGACTACAGGCTCAGACTTCCAAGCCCAGCTAATTTTTAAACTTTTTGGGGCCGGGCACAGTGGCTCACGCCTGTAATTCCAACACTTTGGGAGGCCTAGGCAAGTGGATCATGAGGTCAGGAGTTCAAGACCAGCCTGGCCAACGTGGTGAAACCCCATCTCTACTAAAAATACAAAAGTTAGCCCGGCATGGTGGCGCATCCCTGTAATCCTAGCTACTCAGGAGGCTGAGGCAGGAGAATTGCTTGAACCCAGGAGGCAGTGGTTGCGGTGAGCCGAGATCACACCACTGCACTCCAGCCTGCATGACAGAGTGAGACTCTGTCTCAAAAAAAAAAAAAAAAACAAGGGGCCGGGTGTGGTGGCTCACACCTGTAATCCAAGCACTTTGGAGGCCAAGGCAGGTGGATCACCTGAGGTTGGGAGTTCAAGACCAGCCTGACCAACATGGTGAAACCCTGTCTTTAAAAAAATAATAAATAAATAAAAATGGGGTTTTTTTTGTTGTTGTTTTGTTTTTTTTTTTTGTAGAGATGGGGTCTCCCTATGTTTCCTAGGCTGGTCTCAACCTCTTGGCTTCAGGTGATCCTCCCACCTTGGCCTCCCAAAATGGTTAGATTACAGGTGTGAGCCACTCTGCCCAGCCTTCCCTCTCTTGCTGCTTTCAAGATTCTCTGTCTTTTGAAAGTTTGATTATAACGTGTCTCATTGTGAGTCTGTGTGAGTTCACCTTGTAGTTTGTTGAGTTTCTTTGATGTTTATATTTATGTGTTTTATTATATTTAAGGAGTTTTCAGTTATTATATCTTCAAAGATTCTCTTTGCCCCTTTGTCTTTCTCTTCTCCTTGGTTTGCATGATGGTGCCCCTCAGGTTTTTCAGGCTCTGTCTGTCCTTCAGCCTTTTATTTTTGTTCTTCAGACTTAGTCATTTCTGTTGTCCTGTCTTCAAGGTCACTTATTCTTCCGCCTGCCCCAATCATCTTTGAATCCCTCAAGAGAATTTTTCATTTCGGTTTTTATAGTTTTCAGCTCCAGAATATCTTTTTGGTCTTTTTAGGTTTTCTTTTCTCTCTTATTTCCATATTGTTCATACGTTGTTTCCCTAATCTCCCCATCTGCCTGTAGTACTTTGTGCATCTTTAAAACGCTTGTTGTAGTCTTTGTGTAATAGATCTGCCATCAAGTCTTTTTCAGGGACCATTTCTTTTTTTTTTTTTTTTTTTTTCCTTTGGATGGACCATACTTTCATGTTTCTTTGTACATGCCTTGCGATTTTACTGTTTTTGTTGAAAACCAGACATTTTAATCTAATAATGTTCTTACTCTGTAAATCAGATTCTCCCCGTCCCCAGAGTATGCTGGTTTTGTTACTGTTTTTGGGTTTTTTGATTGTTGTAAGCTATCTCTGTGCTAAGAATCAACCTGAGGTATAAGGTTTTCTCAAATTTTTATTGAGCCTCTGCCTTTCCTGAGTCACTTTCTAGCTTATCATGTATACACAGTTGCTTTTCAATGTCCTAGTCTTTAATGTCTGGCTCCTGAAAGGGGGAAAAGAGAAAAATGAATGCGGGTGGGAAAAGGGTACTAGCCCTTTAAATCCCCTGGAATTCATTTCAGTGGAATTGGGGAGGGGCTTGCGGCCTTTGAGAAGGTGTGACAAAAACGTCTGCCTGCCTCTTCATCTGCACCTCTGTGATCACAAACAGCAATCAGCAGTGAGGAGCAGGGTGCTTTTAGCACACCCTGCTCCAACAACCTATGTAGAAGCTGCTCCACCAGCACATGCACTGTGGCCTGCCACAAGGCTGGGAGCGGGATGGTTAGCTGCTGCTATGCTCAGAGGCAAATGGACAGTAAGTTGCAGTCAGTATTTGTCAAAGCTCTGGCCTCAAGCCTTCAGTAGACTCCAGGGTTCCAAAATACTGATGTCAGACAGTCTGCCCATGCCGTTGTTGTGGAGGTGGGAGACACATTCGTGGTTTCCTACTCCACCATCTTACCTGAATCCGGGACTTACTTACATTACTTTAAAACAAATAAATTGTGTATTTCTGGTACATATGTCCTGAGGACAAAAGAATTGCAAAGAGTTCTTAACCTGTTTTTACTAATCATATTAATAGTAATAATTTTGTTACTGTTATTTTGAAACAGTTTTCATATTGAAGAATAGAGCAAAAGGGTAATTGACATTACCAGCAGTTTTCAGTATAAAAGAAAAGAGATTCAAAGCTGAAAAACTTAAGGGAAAATTCTGTGTTTGTAAATTTGAGTTTGAAGTATCAGCATTGACTAATGAAGCATCCCTTTTTAAAAAAATTGAAGGCCGGGCGCGGTGGCTCACGCCTGTAATCCCAGCACTTTGGGAGGCCGAAGCAGGTGGATCACGAGGTCAAGAGATCGAGACCATCCTGGTCAACATGGTGAAACCCCGTCTCTACTAAAAATACAAAAAATTAGCTGGGCCTGGTGGTGCGTGCCTGTAATCCCAGCTACTCAGGAGGCTGAGGCAGGAGAATTGCCTAAACCCAGGAGGCGGAGGTTGCGGTGAGCCGAGATCACGCCATTGCACTCCAGCCTGGGCAACAAGAGCGAAACTCTGTCTCAAAAAAAAAAAAAAAAAAATTGAAAGTATGGGTTAGCTCTGCCCACTACAAAGGCCTAGGAACAATGAGCAGGCCAGTCAGGCATCAGTGTCCAGAGTCTGTATCTAAATGCCACTTCCCTCTAATGTAAACCAGGATTCCTTGCTTAAAAATAGCTGATTCCAGGTTCTGAATAAAAAAACATACAAGCTGAACATGGAACATCTTGTCTTCCCAGAAAGGAGGGAAGGTGTCAAGGACCCAGCAGGAACTGCTGGAAGGACGTGGGGGCCAATTTGAAGGAGTTCTTGCTAGCCGAAAAATGAACAATTTGAGCATCAATATGCCTAGTAACTGCAGTGAATTGGAGCACATCAGTTATGTTAGAAATGTGAATGCAGAATGTCACCAAACAACAACAATTTTTTATTTGTATTTTGAGGCAGAATCTGGCTCTGTTGCACGGGCTGGAGTATAGTTGTACATTCTCTGCTCATTCTTGTTTAGGACCTGGAATCCACTACTTCTGTGCAAGGAGTCCTGGTTTACTTTAGAAACGTCTACCTCCCAGGCTCAAGCCATCCTTCCACCTCAACCTCCACAGTAGCTGGGTCTACAGGTGCTCACAGCTACAGCCAACTCATCTTTGTATTTCTCGTAGAGATAGAATTTCACCGTGTTGCCCAGGCTGGTCTTGAACACCTGAGCTCAAGTGATCCTTTTGCCTCTGCCTCCCAAAGTGCTGAGAATACAGGCATGAGCCACTGTGCTTAGCCAACATAAAACATTTTTGGACTATCCTTGGAGAATGTGAAGGATACAACTCATTTGAAAGGTGGCCAATTAGAGAATGGAATCAAAGCATTCATTGCCTTTACTATACAAACTCTATCTTAAGGTAGCCCAATAGTTTACAAAGGAAATTTCTTTTTATGGAAGAATTCCAGCTAACAAGTGTAGCAGGAATATAAGAATTAGATTAATATTTATAACCCTTTGTCTACTCAAACCTCTAAGTGGATAGTTAATGGATATCTTTATAGTGGATGGATATGGATGAGTGCGGATGACGCTGGGCCCAATGATTAATCCCAGTATCCAAAAAGACACAGCCAGGCATTTTGTGTTTTATGGGGTCTTGTAACGGAAAGTACATAACACCGTTTGCCACATAATCACTTTATCTGATCTAGATCTAACTTACATTTTATAGGAAATTCAGGGACAAAGGAGCATGTTAAATGACCCCAAAGAAAGCCGCAATAAAATCTTGACTGGAAAGTTGCACTGACCCTGTGCGGTGACTCACGCCTGTAATCCCAACACTTTGGGAGGCTGCAGGTGGATCATTTGAGGTCAGGAGTTTGAGACTAGCCTGGGCAACATGGTCAAACCCTGCTGTGGCGGCACACTCCTGTAATCCCAGCTACTAGGGAAGCTGAAGCAGGAGAATTGCTTGAACTTGGGAGGCGGAGGTTCCTGTGAGCCAAGATCCCACCACTGCACTCTAGCCTGGGTGACAGAGTGAGACTCTGTCTCAAAAAAACAAAAAACCAACTTGTCAGTACTATCTCATCTTAATAATTTTTATTTATTTTTTTCTTTGAGATGGAGTCTCACTGTGTCACCAAGGCTAGAGTGCAGTGGTGTGATCTTGCTCACTGCAACCTCTGCCTCCCAGGTTAAAGTGATTCTCCTGCCTCAGCCTCCTGAGTAGCTGGGATTATAGGCATGTACCACCACACCCAGCTAATTTTTGTATTTTTAGTAGAGATGACGTTTCACCATATTGACCAGGCTGGTCTTGAATTTCTGACCTAGGTGATCCAACTGCCTCAACCTCCCAAAATCTTGGGATTATAGGCATGAGCCACTGTGCACAGCCAGTATTGGGATTTGTAAAATAATCTCGTTTTACAGAAGTGGATAGTAGAATATTTACAGATGAGGTTAAGTGATGGTCTAATATTTGCTTCAGAATAACCCACAGGTGGGTGACAGGAACAAACTTGGCCATGTGTTGATGCCAGTTGATGGGAACATAGAATATCATAGTAGTAGTCTTTTTACTTTTGAATGTGTTTGATATTTCCTAAGATAAAACTATTTGGAGAAGCAAATGAAACCCGGTGTGGTGGCTCATGCCTGTATTCCCAGCACTTTGGGAGGCAGAGGCATCGCTTGAGCTCAGGTGTCCAAGACCAGCCTGAGCAACATGATGAAATCCCATCTCTGTAGAAAATAACAAAAATTAGCTGGGTGTGGTTACGCATACCTGTAGACCCAGCTACTGTGGAGGCTGAGGTGGGAGGATGGCTTGAGCCCAGGAGGTAGAGGTTCCTAAAGTAAAGCAGGACTTTGGCGTTGGCTCTCCTGTAGGGAATAGCAGTTCGTTGCTAGTACGATAATGAACCTCAGTGAGAATTCTCCTAGAAGAGGAAAAATGCCTCCTTACTTCCTGTGGCAGCACTTGGCTTTGTAGGAGGTCTATAACGTGCACCTGGGAACAACTTTGAATGGCCGCCTTTGCAGTTACAGAGGTGGACATCAGAAGGCTACTGCTCCCGAATCCTGTCATGTGAGGTGGCATCTACTCTTCCAATGTGTACACCTAAGTATTCCTGGGAAATCATCTGAATGTTGGAAGGGATTGGAAGAATTTCTTCCAAAAACAAAGACTGCACACTTACCTGTTTCCTGTCCTCAGATATTGATACTTTATGGGAGGGATCTATAAGAAGCAGGTTGGAGCGGATCTAAAACATTCCTTGTGGATCCAGCGATGTCGCCTCCTTCCCCAGCTCCCTGCATCATCGCCTTGCTGTCAGCACTGACATTTGTATACGACCAACAATTCTGCAACTCTTCTCCCTCCCTGTCAAAACCGGACACTTGAACTGTTAGAATCCCCCAGTAGTAGTACTAGGCCTGAGTACACAGAGAGGAAACAGAGTCCTTACTGTCTGTGTATTTGTGTAATGCCGATTTATTTTTTGGTCACTAAATATTAAAAACTAATTTAGATAAAACATCTAAAGTTTTTCCTTTCAGGTCCGATGTCTAAAAGACTATGGAGAATTCGAAGTTGATGATGGCACTTCAGTTCTATTAAAAAAAAACAGCCAGGTATTTCTCGTCTTTAGATACTTTACTTTAAATCTTAGGAGTCTTGAATAGTGGAAAGATTGGAATAGCAAAATAAATATCAACTTGTGATGATCGTTTATGTCTTAGACGTTAACCTTAGTATCATACACCCAGTTCTGTACTTTTTCTGAATATTGAGTGGAAGCAAATGTTGTATATAGTAATAAAAGATTCATTAATTTAGTAGGATATTGCTTATATTTAAAACTAGGTGCTTTCTAGGGGAATTACTATAATCAGCCTTATTCTGGGTAAGTGGTAGATTATTTTCCAGAGGCTGTTAAACTGTAGGATTTAGCTCCTTTCTCATAATTTATTTTAAAAGTTACTAAGCAGTTGTTTTACACTTAGCCTTATAAATCCTTGTTGTTGTTTTTGAGATGGAGTTTTGCTCTTGCTGCCCAGGCTGGAGTGTAGTGGTGTGGTCTCGGCTCACTGCAACCTCTGCCTCCTGGGTTCAAGCAATTCTCCTGCCTCAGTCTCCCGAGTAGCTGGGATTACAGGTCTTTGCCACCGTATTCAGTTCATTTTATATTTTTAGTAGAGACAGGGTTTCTCCATGTTGGTCAGGCTGGTCTCGAACTCCCAACCTCAGGTGATCCGCCTACCTCAGACTCCCAACATACTGGGATTACAGGCATGAGCCCCCGCGCCTGGTCATAAATCCTTGTTCTTTAGCAAGCAAATAGTGATACAGATCAAGAATTTTCAAGTATTTTGTATATAAACATAATTTAATAGAGGAAGATTAAAATATGTTGTAACTTAAGCTAAATTTGTTTAACAAACACGCATTTTGCGCACACGCACATGCGCGCGCGCGCACACACACACACACATTTTTTTTAATGAAATAGAGATGGGGCCTTGCCATGTTGACCAGGCTAGTCTCAAACTCCTGGGCTCAAGCAGTCTGCCCGCCTTGGCATCCTAAAGTGCTCGGATTACAGGTATGAGCCACCATGCCCAGAGTAATCTTTATATGTTTATTATTTCCTTAGAAATCTTCAAATTCACATTAGATGAATTCACATTAGCTACATTTATTATTACTATTATTTTTAATTTTTAATTTTAATTTTTTTTTGAGGCAGGGGCTTGCTGTGTTCCCCAGGCTGGAGTGCAGTGGCGCAGTCTCCACTCATTGCAACCTCTGTGTCCTGGGCTCAAGTGATCCTCCCACCTCAGCCTCTCAAGTAGCTGGGACCATAGGCGCACGCCACCTGTATTTTTAGTAGAGACAGGGTTTCACCATATTGGTCAGGCTGGTCTTGAACTCTTGACATCAGGTGGTCCACTCACCTCGGCCTCCCAAAGTGCTGGGATTACAGGCATGAGCCACCATGTCTAGCCAGTAAAACAGGTTTTTTTTTTCACTATCTCCAGTAAGGCTATAAGCAACAGTAAAATAGTTTTAAAGCTCTAAGGGTATTAGTAAAATAACAGATCAACTATACCCTGTTAGAAAAATAAGCTCAAGAACCACGTGACTTGAAGCATCTTCCGCTCCTTGGTATGAACAGAGTGAACACCAATTACTCAGGGTGACCAGATCCTAAATGGCTGACCCAAGATGGCAGGCAAGGAAAGAACAGTCTTTATTAGGTCATTTTTCCTCCTATATGACTTCAGAAAATTGGGATAGGATACAAAATTTAGTGGCTGGGCACAGTGGCTTATACCTATAATCCTAGCACTTTGGGAGGCTGAGGTGGATGGATCGCTTGAGCTCAGAAGTTCAAGACCAGCCTGGGCAACATGGCAAAACTCCATCCCTACAAAAAATGTAAAAATTAGCTGGGCATGATGGTGGGCACCTGTAGTCTCAGCTACTCAGGAGGCTGAGACAGGAGAATTGCTTGAACCCAGGAGGCAGAAGTTGCAGTGAGCCGAGATCGCGCCATTGCAGTCCGGCCTGGGTGACAGAGCAAGACTCCTTCTCAAAAAAAGAAAAAAAAAAAAAAAAAAAGGATTTTACTAATACTAATAGTTTACTAAAATTATTTTACTAATGGAGCTTCTGAAACAAAGGTTTAATTTTTTTTTTTTACACACACAGTAGGCATGAGCCACTGTGCCCGGCGGTTTAATATTTTTTAAAAAGATTTTGGGGCCGGGCGCGGTGGCTCACGCCTATAATCCCAGCACTTTGGGAGGCCGAGGCGGGTGGATCACGAGGTCAAGAGATCGAGACCATCCTGGTCAACAAGGTGAAACCCCGCCTCTACTAAAAATACAGAAATTTAGCTGGGCATGGTGCACGCCTGTAGTCCCAGCTACTTGGGAGGCTGAGGCAGGAGAATTGCTTGAACCCACAAGGTGGAGGTTGTGGTGAGCCGAGATGGTGCCATTGCACTCCAGTCTGGGTAACAGCAGTGAAACTCTGTCTCAATAAAAAAGATTTTGGGCCGGTTGTGGTGGCTTATGCCTGTAATCCCAGCATTTTGGGAGTCTGAGGCAGGTGGATCACCTGAGACCGGGTGTTCAAGATCACACTGATCAACATGGAGAAACCACATCTCTACTAAAAATACCAAATTACCCAGGCATGGTGGTGCATGCCTGTAATCCTAGCTACACGGGAGGCTGAGGCAGAAGAATCACTTGAACCTGGGGAGCAGAGGTTACCATGTGCCGAGATCGCGCCATTCCACTCCAGCCTGGGCAACAAGAGTGAAACTGTGTCTCAAAAAAAAAAAAAAAAGATTTTGAGGGTTCAGGCAACAATTTCTGTCCCAAGTGTTCTCCTGGACACTAATGAATTGAAAGCAGATAATGAATTAATGCTCTGATAAGCAGCTCTATTTCTGGAGTGTCCAGGAGGAAGCTCTAGTTCACAAGAACAAGAAAAAAGCCATCTTAGGCCAGGTATGGTGGCTCACGCCTGTAATCCCAGCACTTTGGGATGCCAAGGTAGGTGGATCACGAGGTCAGGAGTTCAAGACCAGCCTGGCCAACGTGGTAAAACCCTCACCTTACTAAAAACACAAAAACTAGTGGGACATGGTGGCAGATGCCTCTAATCCCAGCTATACACGTTAGGCTGAGGCCAGAGAATTGCTTCAATCTTGGAGGCGGAGGTTGCAGTGAGCCCAGATTGTGCCACTGCACTCCAGCTTGGGCAACAGAGCAAGACTCCGTCTCAGAAAAAAAAAAGGAAAAAAGCAAGATATGTGAAGTGTCCCTTCGTTGCAAATGCTGTCCTGTGGTTAGAATTTTTAACTTTGTCTCTCAGCTGTGACCCTACCCTCAGTGAAAAACTTAATATCAGCCTCAGTTGATGGTTGGTATCAGGGGCTTCTATTCTAATGTTCAACCACATCTGAATGAATTTTCTATAGACTCTGGTGTAGATCATTCACATGCTCTCAGCATTAGTAGGAAAACATTTTCTTAACATACATTCCTTTCTGTTTGTCACTATAGCAAGCACTGTTTCTTTTTGGCCAGAAATCAGCACTCTTCATGTATTAGTATGGATATTAAATGAACAACTTAGTTATTTTGTTTTTGTTTTTACATTTTCCTTGGCTCATGTGTCTTCAAGATTGTTTTACAAGAATTTGGTCATGGGTCTCTTGTAAGGCCTTTGAGTTTGTGAGGCAGGTCCTTCAGGTGCACATTGCCACTGAGGTTACATTTTGCTTCCTTGAGATTCCTTTGATCACTTACGAATTAGAAAGCCTTCCTGCCATGCTTCTTGAACCTCCTTCCTCCAAGGCAGTCAGTGTTTTGTGTGAGTCCCTGTGTTTGAGAGGGAAGGAGACATCTTTCCACCTGCCCCTGATTCCCAGAGCAAGAGTGATGTCCTCTTAGGAAGACACGGAACAAGCAATACCTGGGTTCTGGCATATTCCGTCATACCGTGTGAATAGCACCCACACCCACGCTGTGGGTCATGAATACTTTTCATCCGTGACAAATACTGGGGGAAAGTGGTTACTTGTTATTAGAAGGATGTTCAGGCTGGGTGCGGTGGCTCACACCTGTAATCCCAGCACTTTGGGAGGTGGAGGTGGGAGGATTGCTTGAGCCCAGGAGTTCAAGACTAGCCTTGGCAACACAGCAAGACTCCATCTCTATTATAAAAAAAAAAGAATGTTCAGAGTCTGAAATCTTAAAACAGGTTTTGTGGAGAAATGGGGCTTTCATGGATCTTCCTGATAGGCTGTGGGACCAGTGGTAATCCAGATCGTACCTATCTGGATTTCTCTGTGCATAAATTTAAAAAGTGTAAACACTAAGAACAATACCTACTAGAATTCAAAAGTCTTTATTTATTTTTTTTGACAAAGTCTTGCTCTTTGGCTGGAGTGCAATGGCACGATTTCAGCTCATTGCAACTTCCACCTTCTGAGTTCAAGTGATTAATCTGCTGTAGCCTCCCCAGGAGCTGGGATTACAGGCGCCTGCCACCATGCCCAGCTAATTTTTGCATTTTTAGTAGAGACAGCGTTTCACCATGTTGGCCAGGCTGGTCCTGACCTCCTGACCTCAGGCGATCCACCTGCTTTGGCCTCCCAAAGTGCTGGGATTACAGATGTGACCCACCACGCTTGGCCATAGAATTCAGAAGTCTTTAGTTGAAATGCACTAAGCAAACTGAATTCATAGAATTCTGTACAGGTCTAAATGGCATCAATTTCAGTGAATTAAAACAGCAAATGTAGTTAAGTTTAACTTTTAACTACTTGTTGGAGTTTGAAAACTAATCAGTGCTGCTTTTTAATGACACAAGAAATAATTTCAGATTATTTATCAATCATTTATTTTACTCTTTCTCCATCCCTTTTTGTTCCCTCAGCACTTTTTACCTCGGTGGAAGTGTGAGCAGCTGATCAGACAAGGAGTCCTGGAGCACATCCTGTCGTGACCATGAACCGAGGCACCCCCAGGCTTCACCCAACTCATGGACTCCTCTGTACTTCCTCTCTACCCTCCCATCACCTCCCTCTGTGATTTTAAGAGCTATAGACATTGTTTAAGATAACTAAGAATACTTGGCTACGAAGTATAATTTGCTAACTATTAAGGACTTTTTAAAAAATGTTGTACACTATTCTTCTCCTGTTTTTAAAATTTTTTAAATTTTTTGTAGAGACAGTATCTCACTATGTTGTCCAGGCTGGTCTCAAGCAGTCCTCCTCAGGAGGCTGAGGTCAGAGAATTGCTTTAATATGAGAGGTGAAGGTTGCAGTGAGCCCAAATTGAGCCCAGAATCCTGGCCTCAAGCAGTCTTCCCACCTTGACCTCTCAAAGTGTTGAGATCACAGGTGTGAGGAGCTGCACCTGGCACCTACTCCTTTTTCTAATAAGCTTTATCTCTAATCACAGCATTCCTACAGTGTATTTTTTAAATGAAGTAAACATGATTACATTTGAATCTTTTTTAAATAATGAGAGTCACTTGGCTGCACAGGAAGAAGGTAGATCCCATGTGTCTTGTTTTCTGGTCATGTATATTGTACAAGCTAGAGAGTCGAATTTCTGAGATACACATTTTCTTTCTTTTTTTTTTTGAGACGGAGTTTCGCTCTTGTTACCCAGGCTGGAGTGCAATGGCATGATCTCGGCTCACCGCAACCTCTGCCTCCTGGGTTCAGGCAATTCTCCTGCATCAGCCTCCTGAGTAGCTGGGATTACGGGCACATGCCACTACGCCCAGCTAATTTTTGTATTTTTAGTAGAGACGGGGTTCACTATGTTGACCAGGATGGTCTTGATCTCTTGACCTCGTGATCCACCCGCCTTGGCCTCCCAAAAAGAGCTGGGATTAGAGGCGTGAGCCACCGCACCCGACCCTGAGATACACATTTTCAAATCACATGAGCAAGTGAAGATGGTTTTCAGTATATGTGATGTTTAATGACATACTAATTTATCGTCTGGCAATTTGGGAAGGATGGACACATGGATTTTGCACATTTCCAACATGGTGGCTGGTCTGGTTTGTGGCCAGTATCACTGCTTTGGAAAGGGACAATGAAACTGGGGCTAGAGAAGGAATTTGTACAGCTTTCCCTGAGACTCACATTGACTAAAAAGTCACGTAAAGAGTTGATTGGCTTTTAATGGTATCTTTTAAATAGCTGACACTTTAAATGTTAATGAAATTCAGTTTGTTTGTTCTTTTATGCTTTGGATGTTTCGTCAAAGGAATCTTTTCCCACCCTATGGTCACAACTTTTTTTTTCTTCTAGGAGTGTTATAATTTTAAGCTTTATACTTTTGGTCTATGACCCGTTTTTGTTTGTTTGAGATGGAGTCTCGCTCTGTCACCCAGGCTGGAATTCAGTGGCATGATCTCGGCTCACTGCAACCTCCACCCTCCGGTCCAAGTGATTCTCCTGTCTCAGCCTCCTGAGTAGCTGGGATTACAGGTGCATGCTGTTACACCCAGCTAATTTTTGTATATTTAGTAGAGACAGGGTTTCACCCTGTTGGCCAGGCTGATTTCAAACTCCTGACCTCAAGTTACCCACCTTGGCCTCCCAAAGTGTTAGGATTACAGGAATGGGCCGCCATGCCTAGCCTGTAATCCATTTTGAATGAATTTTTGTATATGGTGCAAGGCGTTGATCCCCTTCACTTTTTCTTGGGCATGTAGGTATCCACCTGTCTCACTACCATCTGTCGAAAGGACTGCCCTTGGCTCTACCACCTTTGCATTTTTGTCAAAAAGTAGTTTTCAGTGTATGTGTGGGTTTATTTCAGGACTCTGTTTTGTTCCATTGAACTGTTTTTCTTTCCTGAATGCCAAAACTATATTTGTATGTAGTGTAATTTTTCTAATAATTCTTGAAATAGTATTAATGCATTATATTTTTATTGTTATTTGTATTTTTTGTAGAGACGGGGTTTTACCTTGTTGGCCAGGCTGTGCTGAACTGAGCTCAGTAATCCACTCGCCTCATCCTCCCCATGTGCTGAGATCACAGGCGTGAGTCTTGGTGCTGGCCCAATGCACCACATTTCTTTTTGAGATTTGTTTTGGCTATGCTAAGTCCTTTGCATTTTATATGAAATTGGGAAGAGGCGGGGCGTGGTGGCTTACGCCTGTAATCCTAGCACTTTGGGAGGCCTAGGTGGGCGGATCGCTTGAGCTCAGGAGTTCCAGACCAGCCTAGGCCACATGGCAAAAGTCTGTCTCTATAAAAAATGCAAAAATTAGCTGGGTGTGGTGGTTCATGCCTGTAGCCCCAGTTACATGGCAAGTTGAAGTGGATCCCTTGAGCTCAGGAGATCAAGGCTGCAGTGAGCTATGATCACACCATTGTACTCCAGCTTGGGTGACAAAGTGAGACATTGTCTCAGAAAAAAAAAAAAATTAGGGTCAACTTGTCAATTTCTACAACAGCAACAACAAAAAACCCTCCTAGCACTTTGAGATTGCATTGAATTTATATAAAAAGGTTGGGAGAGTTGACATCTTTAGTAATATTGAGTCTTCTGGCCTATAAATAAAGTCTGTCTTCCCACATATTAATGTTTCTGTCTTCCATTTCTCTTAGTAACCTTTTGTAATTTTCATTGTACAGGTCTATCATGTCAGTATTTCATAGTTTTGATGCTAAGTAGTTTAAAATTTCAAATTCTAACTGCTTGTTGCTAATAAACAGAAATACGGCTGGGCGCGGTGGCTCACGCCTGTAATCCCAGCACTTTGGAGGCCGAGGCGGGTGGATCACGAGGTCAAGAGATCAAGATCATCCTGGTTAACATGGTGAAACCCCGTCTCTACTAAAAATACAAAAAATGAGCTGGGCATGGTGGCGTGTGCCTGTAATCCCAGTTACTTGGGAGGCTGAGGCAGGAGAATTGCCTGAACCCAGGAGGCGGAGGTTGCGGTGAGCTGAGATCGCGCCATTGCACTCCAGCCTGGGTAACAAGAGCGAAACTCTGTCTCAAAAAAAAAAAAAAAATAAGCAGAAATACAATTGATGTTGAACTTGTGTCCTTCAGCCTTGTTAAACTGTGAGTTCTTAGAGTTTTTTTGTAAGTTACGTCAATAGTCATGTGTTCTATGCATAGAGTTTTACTTTCCTTTCACATCTGAATGCCTGATGGCATTGGTTAGAACTTCCAGTAGACGACTGAATATATGTGGTCAGAGAAGATATCTCTATCTTGTTCCTGATCTAAGAAGGAAAACAGTCAGTCTTTCACCATTATGTTAGCTCTTAAGTTTTAGGTAGATGCCACTTACTGGGGTGAGGAAGTTCCCTTCTATTCCTAGTGATATGGTTTGGCTGTGTCCCTACCCAAATCTCACCTTGAACTGTAATAATCCCCTCATGTCAAGGCAGGGCCAGGTGAGATACTTGAATCATGGGGGTGGTTTCCCCCTTACTTTTCTTATGTCAAGAAGGCACAAGATTTGATGGTTTTGTAAATGGGAGTTCCCCTGGACATGCTCTCCTGCCTGCTACCATGTAAGACATGACTTTCCTCCCTATCCATTTGCCTTCTGCCATGATTGTGAGGCCTCCTCAGCCATGTGGAACTGAGTCAGTTAAACCTCTTTCCTTTATAAATTACCCAGTCTCTGGTATGTCTTTATTAGCAACATGAGAACAGAATAATACAGTAGTTTACTGAGAACTTTTTTAAAAATCGGAAATGGGGCTGGGCGCGGTGGCTCAAGCCTATAATCCCAGCACTTTGGGAGGCCAAGGCGGGTGGATCACGAGGTCAAGAGATCGAGACCATCCTGGTCAACATGGTGAAACCCCGTCTCTACTAAAGATGCAAAAAATTAGCTGGGCATGGTGGCGCGTGCCTGTAATCCCAGCTACTCAGGAGGCTGAGGCAGGAGAATTGCCTGAACCCAGGAGGCGGAGGTTGTGGTGAGCCGAGATCACGCCTTTGCACTCCAGCCTGGGTAACAGGAGCAAAACTCTGTCTCAAAAAAAGAAAAAAATCAGAAATGGATCCTGGAGTCTGTCATATCCTTTTTCTCCATCTGTGGAGATGGCTTCATCTTTTAGTTTGATATTTTGGTGAATTATGGTGGCTGATTGATAATTGAGTTGTCAGTGTCAAACCACCCTACATTCATGGCATAAACTAGATCTGGTCATGATGTATTACCCTTTTTGTAGAATTTTATTTGAGAACTTTTGTTTTTTTTTTGAGACAGAGTCTTACTCTGTCACCCAGGCTGGAGTGCAGTGGCATGATCTCAGCTCACTGCAACCTCCACCTCTGGTGTTCAAGCAGTTCTCTGCCTCAGCTTCCGTAGTAGCTGAGATTACAGGTGTCTGCCACCATGCCCAGCTAATTTTTGTATTATAGTAGAGACAGGATTTCACCATCTTGGCCAGGCTGGTCTTGAACTCCTGACCCTGTGATTCACTCACCTTGGCTTTCCAAAGTGCTGGGATTACAGGCATGAGCCATGCTTGGCCCGAAAACTTTTTGTAGAATTTTTGCATCAGTGTGCATGCGGAATATTGGTCTGTGGTTCTTGGAAAAATAATCTCTCCTCTTCGGTTTTTTGGAAGAGTTCACTACATAGAAAAAAACTCACTCAACAACAAATAACAGAAGACTTCTGTGACCAAATGTGTGGGGGTTCTTCCCACATACCAAGCAAGCAATCAGTTCTGCAGTGGACACCAGGTTTGTCCTCTACTTCAGTTCCAACACTACCTGGAGATAGAGTCAGATCTCAGGCTCGGGGCTCAGTCCAAGACTGCCCTCCCTTCAGACACCAGTCAAGTCTGGGTCTCTGAAATTCTGACCAACTAGCTTCATGTTGGAGTTCCCATGACCCCCACTTTGGGTTCAATTCATTTGCTAGAGCAGCTCACAGAACTTAGAAGCACTTAAGCTTAATGGTTTGTTATAGAGGATATGGTAAAATATGCAGATGAAAGGACCCAGGTGGAAGAGATGCACAGGGTAAGGTATGGGGAAGGGACCTGGAGCTTTGATGCTCACCACCCAGGCTCTCCAAACCCTGTCCTTTTGGGCCTTTTATGGAAATCTCGTTGGACAGGCATGACCAACAACCACGAAAGGTGTGACTGGACAAAAAGGGTATGAGCTAATGCTCAGCCTGAGTGGCGCCGTCCAACGCCATCTGCTCAGGTTCTTGGCCTCTCTGCTGCAGTCCTGTCAGAGTATGGGGCAGTGCCCTTCTGAACATAGAGAATTTTTTTTTTTTTTTTTTTTTTTGAGATAGTTTCGCTCTTGTTACCCAGGCTGGAGTGCAATGGCGCGATCTCGGCTCACCGCAACCTCCGCCTCCTGGGTTCAGGCAATTCTGCCTCAGCCTCCTGCGTAGCTGGGATTACAGGCACGCGCCACCATGCCCAGCTAGTTTTTTGTATTTTTAGTAGAGACGTTGTTTCACCATTTTGACCAGGATGGTCTCGATCTCTTGACCTCATGATCCACCCACCTCGTCCTCCCAAAGTGCTGGGATTACAGGCTTGAGCCACCGCACCCGGCCTACCACAGAGAATTTCTTTACGGCCAGCTCCAAGACAGAAAGGTGGGAAGATTGTTGCCTTGAGGAGAAAAAGGAGCAGGTGAAAGGAGGGCGTAAGGGCAGAAAGAGTGTCTTCTGAGACAGATCTGCCCAGCGTCACAACAAAAGACTAACAAAGGCCATGAATTAGGAACCAGAAGCCTTGAATGAAACCAACGTATCTATCGTCTAAGTTTTATATACTTGGTATTATTTCTTAAATGTTTATAGAATGTATATTTAAGCCATCTGGGCCTAAAGTTTCTTTGTGGGAAGGTTAACCACAGTTTTGGCTTTTTAAATAAATACGTGGCTATTCTGGTTGCCCGTTTTTTTCTCGAAATAGCGTTGGCAATTTATGTATTCTCCATTTTATCTAAGTTACCAAGTTTATTTATATAAAGTTGTTCATGGGCTAGGCATGGTGGCTCACGCCTGTAATCCCAGCACTTTGGGAGGCCAACGCAGGAGAATCGCTTGAGCTCAGGAGTTTGAGACCAGCCTGGGCAACATAGTGAGACGTTGGAAAAAATGATTGCCAGCGGTGGCGCTGTGCACCTGTCATCTCAGCTATTCGGGAGGCTGAAGTGGGAGCTGGAGGCCGCAGGGAGTTTTGATCATGCCACTGCATTCCCGCCTGGGCCACAGTGTCTAAAAAAAGTAAAATGTTATTCATAATATTGCCTTATTACGCTTGTGTATCCGTAGACTATAGCAATACCTGTAGTGATACCATCTCTCATTTCTGTTAGTAAGTTTTCTTTTTTCTTTTATTCTGATTGAACTAGAAGTTTTTTAATCTTCTGAAAGAATCTGCCTTTGGTTTACTGACAGAAGTTTCCATTTCAGGGGTCAACAGATGCTTTCTGTGTATTAGGCTTTGTGGGCCACGTGACCTGTACAGCTGCTGCTGGAGCACAAAGCAGGTACACAGAATCTGTAACTGAGCGTGGCCGTGCCAACCAAACTTAACCCGCAGCATGCCACAGCCAGTCTCTTCTGTCCCTTGGTTTCTGCTGCAATCATCATTTCCTTTGCTTTCGACTTTGGGTTTAACTTGCTTTTGTCTGCATATTTAAGGTAGAAGCTGAAGTCATTGATTCAAGACCTTTCTTCTGTTATCATCTGGGTGTTTGTTGCTGTGAAACTTCCCCTAAGTAATGCTTTTGCTCTGCCTCACAAATTTTGATATATTGTGTTTCATTTCCATTCAATCCAGAATATTTCCTAATCTCCCACTTCTCATTTCTTCTTTGCCTCAGGGTAGTAGTGTGTTGTTCAGTTTCCAAATATTGGGGGATTGATTTCTAATTTATTTCCATTGCAGTCACAGTATAAACATCGTATGACTTGAATCTTTGTAATTTTTTGAGATTTGCTGGCCCAGAATATGTATGTCTTGGTGAGTGTTTGGCTGCATGTGCTTCTGCTGGTGTCGTGTGGCAGGCTCTAGATGTCTGTATGTTGGTGATGTTGTTCAGGTCTCCTGGTTACTCCAGGGTGAGACAGAAGCCCACAGTGAATGAGGAAGTGTCCTCAGTGAGTTCTGATAGATGCTTACACCTGTGTTAACATAAACTGCATTGGGACATAGTTTAGTAACTGGTAGAACTAGTCCCCATGCATTGCTCTTTGTCAGAGTTTTCCCAACAGTTTCATTTGCTTATTTTGTTGCATGTAAAAACTTTAGAATGTCTTGTCCAATTCTGGGGTCGATTGGGGCATGGAACATCTGTATATTTGTTGGGACTAATTACATTTATCAGCAAACTTTGAAGAACGGTCAACTTCATGTGGCCGAATCGTCCTAAGAACCAACCTTTCCATCTGTTCCAGCTTTGTCACCTTTCCATGGTGCTGTGACAGTTGTCTCCTGCAGAGGGGAGAAGGCGTGCCAGCTCTGGGATGGTGGCTGTCCCAGGAAGAGGGAGGAGGCTAAGAACAGAACATGCTCCCCCACTCCATGGTGGTGGCAGGATGTTATTCTTACTACATCTGTTGATGGG